ACAAAGAGATGTATAAGAAATTATGAAGATAAGTTAGAAAAAGAACTAATTGATAAAATAGCAAACAAAGTTTTATTATGGAATTGATATTATTTAATTTCTAAATAATATTAATTGATGAGTAAAGAAGCAAAATTATCTGAGTTATATTTTGATATTGAGCGGGGTTTCGGTAGCGCTAAGAGTTTATATGATGATGCAATAAAAGCAGGTATGGTAATCACACAAGAAGAAGTTAAAGAATGGTTAAAAAATCAATCAGTAAAACAAAGAAGCGGTTATAAACAATATAATAGTTTTTCTGCTCCTTTTGCTCGTGCAATTTATTCTGTTGATTTGATGAATATGATTAGTCTAATGAAGGATACAAACACTTATAAAAAGGAATATCCATTATATGGTTTTGTTTGTATTGATAATTTTAGTAAAAAATGTCATGTAGTTCCAATGCAAAATAAAGACGGACCAACTGTATTAAATGCCTTAAAGGAATGTTTTAAGGTAATGGGTTATCCTCAATCAGTTTATAGTGATGATGAAGGGGCACTTAATGATAAAATATTACAAACATATTTGAAAGATAACGGAATTATACATAATGTCACACTAACACATGCTAACGTAGCCGAGAGAATGATAAGAACATTAAAGAAGATGATAAGTGATAGATTACAAGTTCATAAACAAGGAGCTTGGACAATTATGTTAAAACCTGTATTAGATAAATATAATAAACAAATGGTTCACTCAACGACTGGTTTAGTTCCTAATGAAGCACATAAAGACGATAACCACATAACAGTAAAGTCTAACTCAGTATTGAAAGAAAAATATTTAAGAAATTATCCTAATATCAGTGAAGGCGATACTGTAAAAATCTATACAAAAAGCGGTGGCAATTATACAAGTAGGAAAGAAACAAGGAGCCGGTGGAGCGAACAAACTTATAAAGTTAAAAGTGTTGAACGCGATATGCAACTTAATAAATATTATGTTCTTGAAGGATTACCTAAACGTTATTTACGACATGAATTATTGTTAATTAATAAATAAATGGTAAAAAACTACTTAAAGAAAAAACGCCCTAGAATAGTAGGGAAAATGACCATATTTGATTATAGCAAGTGCCAACAGTGTAAGCATATGCGAAAACATCATAACAAGGAAACATTAAATAAAATATTACCAGAAGAAATAGGAAGTATTATACAGTCTTTTAACTGTTGTGATAGTTGTAATCGTCTTATCAACTTAGAAGATGATTACCCATTTGATATACATGATAAAGGTTTACTAACAAATTTTGAAAAGCAACTTTATATATTAAAAGAAAGAGACAATTTTGATGTATATTTCGTTTATGATGATAGAGAAACGAAAAAACAAAAGTTAGTAAATATGTTTATGAAAAGTGATAACCCTTATAAGAAAGTAATTATATCTTTTATTAAGAACAGACGAACAAGGTTTTTTGATAAGTTTGATTTGATACTATCTTTTCTTCATAATAAGGAAACAATGAAACATGTTACTAGACGTGAAAATATTTTAATATTACATTATGACTATTACAGGAAATCATACCCGGATAAACTATTGTTTAAAAACATTATGTATGAGTTTCTTGTTAATTTTATAGGTAATGATATTAAGTATTTAAATCTTGATGAACTGCAAAAACATTTAAATGACATATTTGATAAAGAAGAAGATGAAAATTAAAGCATTCATAATAATATTGATATATAATATTATTATAAATGTAGACATAATATTATATAGAATATTATACATAAACCATGACAGAAGCTGAATACAAATGAGAGGCGAAAAAACCTGAATAAGGTGACGATATTTTTTGATAAATATTTTAAAAAATTTTTGAAAAATGAGAATGAAACAGAGGAGTAATTACAAAAACGAAGTAGGAGATTAAATTTAAAGTAATGAAACAGATGCCGAAACAATATATTTGAAAAAACTACTACAAGGACAAAAACCCTAGAAAATTATAACGTTAGAGATGCCTAAAACTGATTTTAAATTTTGTTAAAATGAATGAGATGACTGGGGCTGGGATTTTTTGAGAAATTGTTAAAAATTTGTGAAAATTTGTGTTTAAATGTTAGAGGAGCGTTAATGTGAAAATGCATAAGGTAATTCTGTATAAAATATGTTAAAAAATTTGCCAAAATTAATACAAAAAATTGATTAAGATGACAACAAAACGAAATATTATTAAAGTGAGCTATGTTGATAAAACGACATAGGGGCCTATGTAGGGTCGGGGGGCAGAACCCTACAACCAACCTTTTCCTTATTTTTCCCCTCGCCCCCGCGCTGTTCGCCATCGGCCAACATGCAGCGCTGCTCGCGGCACAAGCTCGCCTCCAAGCGGACGAAGAGGTTTTCGCGTTCTTAGACGATCTTTACGTCCTCACCACCCTGCCCCGCGCGCGGATTGCACGGGATGTCGTCGCGGGCGAGGTCGAAGCTACCTGCGGGATATCTTCCAACCACGGCAAAACACGGATGTTCGGCTGGTCGAATGTGCCAGCTCCGCCCGAGGTGGCCGACCTCGGTGACGCTGTGTGGCGCGGAGACAAGTCGCCACGCGAACGCGGCTTCCTGGTTCTCGGCGTGCCTATCGGGCATCCGGCGTTCGTCCAGGCGTGGGCAGTAGAGCGCATGCTGGAGGAGAAGCGCTTGCTCAACGAGCTCCCCGAACTCCCAGACCTTCAGTGTGCCTGGCTGCTCCTCGCCCTCTGCGCGTCACCCCGAGCCAACCACGCCCTGCGCACCCTCCCGCCGACCGAGGTAGCAGGGTATGCGGCAGCGCATGACGCAGCTCTGTGGGAAGCGTTCCTCTCCTGCATCGGAGGAGCGCCGGCGCCCGACTCGCAAGCGGCTTGGCAGATAGCGGGTTTGCCCGCGACCCTGGGTGGGTTGGGACTCCAGTCCGCAGCGCGGACGAGCCCTGCCGCTTACTGGGCTTCCTGGGCTGATGCACTCCCTGTCATCCGCGCCCGTCGACCCCGTTTCGCGGCCAGTTGTGTCGCGGAGCTGGAAGGATCGGCCGCGCACCGCAGCGCAAGCCTTCAACAAGCTTCCACTGCTCGCACCTTGCTGCTCACGGAAGGTTGGTCGGCTTGTCCCACTTGGGCAGAGCTGCTCGACAACCACCACATGAAGGCTTTGCCAGACCGGGGACTAGGGGATTGGCCCCATGGTTGGCAGCACCACGCGACGCGGACACGCACCACCTACTTTCGCGACCGCGTGCTGTTGCCGACCATGGATCCTGCTTCCCGAGCACTCCTCCGGTCCCAGGCGGGACCACAAGCCGGGGCTTGGCTGACTGCTATTCCCTCGGATGAAGCCCACGTACTGGCGCCTGAGACCATGCAGATCGCGTTGCGCAGGCGCTTGCGTCTCGCTTTGCCGCTCACCTCCAATACTTGCGGTGGCGACGCACCTGGATGCGGCCGTCCCGTTGACCGCTTGGGGGACCATGCGGTGGCTTGCCCGCGCACGGGGCTGCTCGCACGCCGGGCCAAGATCGTCGAGCACGCTTGGGTCCGCGTGGCGCGCGAAGCCATCGGGCCCGAAGGGCAGGTCGTCCCACAGCAGTGGCTCACGCACACGACCGCACCGGGAGTGGAGTCGGACGACCGCCGCCGACTTGACATGGTCATCTACGGCGTCACTCCTTGGGGAGGGGCACTGTGCTGCGACGCGACGTTGGTCTCTCCCGTGTCGCGAGATGGCCAGCCGCAAGGGCGTGCAGCGGATGAAAACGGGGTAGCGCTCGCCACGGCCACACGCCGCAAAGAGGCGACATACCCGGAGCTCCTCCGCAACGGTCCCCAGCGCCTCGTTGTGCTCGGCTCGGAGGTTGGGGGTCGTTGGAGCGCAGGAGCCGTCGCTCTTGTTCGCGACCTCGTTCGCCTCCGCCGGTTGCGCGCCCCTCCCGCTTTGCGCAATGCCGCGGCCACAGCTTGGGCTCGGCGTTGGTGGACCCAGCTGTCGGTCGCTGTTCAGCGTGCGACAGCCCTGTCGGCGGCCGGTCGGGCATGGCCGGCGGCGCCTCGCGCCTCGGTAGACGCTCCGGCCCTCGAGCTCGTGTTGGACCTCGCTGACGCGGCGGGGCCCAGCACCCTGCCGCTGCGAGGGTGACTGGTCCGCTTGCGGGCCGAAGTAGGAGGGAGGCTAGCTGTGTAAGGAGACCAAGGACCACTCATTCCGGCAGACGCAAAAAGGGAGCGGAAAAAAAAAAAAAAAAAAAAAAAAAAAAAAGTTCGAACATCTTGTGAATTATCAGAGGCTTGAACAAGGAGTATGGCAATTACATGCTAGATGAGCTGCCATTTGTATTGAAAGTGGAATGGACGGTGAGAACGTTGTACACCTTGTGTATGTCTGAGATCCCATCACGAAAGTGTTCAAAAGGGCGGAAGCCTTTGAACTTGAGCGTGGAGATGATCAGTCGAAGCTTCGCCTTGTGGTAGGGGTGGTCAGAAATCGACCGTATGTAGAGCCGTGGACTGAGGATGCCATCAGCATGCGGCGCACACTCTCAACTCCTCCACTCCCTGATGTTGATGATGAAGATGATGAAAGGGATGAGGGTTATTTGGAAGGTGGGATGCGTTGTAGCGAGGGGTTGGTTAAAGAGAGTACAGAGAGAGAGAGAGAGAGAGAGAGAGAGAGAGAGAGAGAGAGAGAGAGAGAGAGAGAGAGAGAGAGAGCGCGGTTACCGCTGACGAGGAGAAACAGATGAGTGATTCCGAGGCGATGGCAGAGTTGTTGGCCGTGAGGCAGCTCTCCACTGAAATGGTGACGAATGCGGTACTTACCGAAGGGAGTGAAAAATATTAGAAGGTGGATCTCGAGCTTGGAAAAGGAACTTCAAAACATGACAGATCTTGATGTTTGGACGGCGTGCCATCAGGACAGGGTTCGTGAGCGATGAGTCCGAGAGTCTTCCAGCTCCTCTGCCTATGAAACTGGTCTTGACAAAGAAGCCAATCCTTGAGGGAGGAGAACAAATAGAGGACGTCAAGGCTGGAGCAGCGGAGGGTGCAGAGGATGCTGAGTTGGATTCATTAAAAGGGGAGATGTCGACAGGTAGGATGCGGAAACTTTGAGGGAGCTCCAGGTGACGACCTGTCATCGCAGAACATTGGTGCAACTGCATTAAAGTACATGCTCCACGCGTGGGCCCGAAATCGTGAGTGGATTACAGGTGCTTTTGACATCAGCGTTGCATTCCTGAATGCAGTGTTAGAGCCAGGACATAGGATCACTCTGAAGCCACCGGGCTTGCTGGTTAGATTGGGTTACTTCAAGGCGACGGATGTCTTGATTCCGGGCATGGGAAAGAGAGAGAAAGAAGCGAAAGACTGGACAATGCGATGATTGCGAAGGCTCCGGGTGACTCGTATGGTGACCTTCATCTTAAGCTTCACAGTTTGGTACTGGGATTGTGGAGCTTCTACGATGGGAGTGAGATTGTGGGAATGACGACTATGTTCGTTGATGATGGCCTCACCATTGGCCCACCGGAAGTGGTCATGCGAGTCATGGAGTACGTCCGCAAGATATGGAAACCGTAGGGTTCAAGGGTATCTGGGATGGCAAGATGAAGAGCTTGAGAGCCGTGGTGATTTCAAGTTGGAGCGGGTCAGTTTAATGATGTTCTTAGGACTTCGGATAGCTTTAACTTTTGAAGGGGCATGTATGGACCAACACAAGTGGCTGAGTCAAGAGCTCAATCGGCGAGGATTTCTGCACTTGAATGGCTGCGATGCCTTACCTTCCTTGGACAATGCGCCGACTCAACCAGCTGAGAAGAATGAAAACTACCACAAGGCATTGAAGGAAGTGCAATCCGACATTGGATCACTCATGTGGATATCTCTTAGGACGCGCCCCGATGCTCAAGCATGCACCTCAATGCTAGCATGTCTGTCCACTGTTGATCCGGAGTATGTTCGGAAGTGCTTGAAGAAGGTTTGGAGGTATTTGCGCGGAACCTTCTGGCTTCGCTTGAAGTACACAGGAAGCCGAGAAAAGGACCATCACAACGGCATCTGACGCAAGCTTCGCTCCACAAGGATCCCGATCAAGAACCGGAATTAGATTGTTTGTAGGCGAAGATCTGATCTCTTGGAGGTCAGTGAGACAAGGGTTGGTAGCATGGTCCACCATGGAATGTGAAACGGATGCGGCTGCCTGAGGGCTGCAAGAAGCTTTCAGGCTCAAGACGATCATTGAAAAGCTGGAAGGGGCACAGTATGAGATTCGGATGCTGGTCGATAACCTCAGCTCTGTGACCTTGCTGAACAAGCCTACATGGAACCACCTCGGTTGGCGCACACGGCATTTTGCCATCAGAGCGTCCTGGATCCGAGACCAACTCCGTGATGAAAGGGTGACTGTTCAACACTACGCGGGTCGAGAGCTTGTAGCTGATGCATTAACGAAGGTGTTGCAGAGAACACGTCTCAGGGAGATGAGACAACGAATGCAGTTGACATGATTTTGTGAAGATCCTGGAGGCTAGAAAATGCATGGGCCAAGCCATGATGCAGGAACTGGCAAAGGGATAGAGTTCATCCGAATAGTTTACATTAGACTTTGGGAGGCTTCGCCGAAGGAATAGTCCAGCGGGCCTTGCATGAGCGCTTTTGAGGGCGCCGGTTACCATGCATCACCCATGGCAACCGCCAAGGAGGAGTGTTGCTTGTGACATGCATCGGCCCCTGTGCAGGGTGACACGCACAAGCTTCGAAGAGAGCTTGGCTTCACGGCTGCCGCCCGTATTTGCCGGGAACCCGGAGCCACTGTTGCGCTCAACGTCCGCCGCATCGAGGGCATTGCTAATGGACTTGCGCTCTGGGGGAGCTGCCGCCTTTGTCAAACTCCCTGCGCGCCTCCGTGCGAGGGCCAGCTGCTTCCTCTCGCGGTCCCAGCATTTCTGCCTTTGCCTCTCGCTGGTTAGCTCCACTTTCCCTTGCGGCTGCCCGCGCCTTTGCAGAAAGCCTCCCTTGCCCCTTGGCGGCACAGCCAATGCTGAGCGACATCCTCGCTGACTCCTCCCTTGAGCCGCCCCTTGCAAGCCGCATGCCCTAGACGCCGTGGCGCGCAGCCGGCCTAGACTTGGGTCTGCACTGGGACTGCCGAGTTTGGAACGCTGGTAAAAAGAAACACTATTCGTATCCTAGTACATTAGCATATTGGTATGGTATATTCATACATTAACAAGTAGTATGCTCTTACAACAATGCAAATTTGTATTGTAAGATAGTGGTTTGTATGTTTATATACGCTAGCATATGCATGTGTTCATTAGAACCGGTAGTAATATTCATAGCAATACCCAGATGAAATTGATTCTTGGTATTCGTAGGATTGTGAATGCTAACATAAGTAGTGGTACGAGGATTCAAGGCCAGGCCTACCTCTGCCCAAATGTCGCTGGCCCTTCACACTTCCGTGTGTTGATGTTGCGACGCCTACGGCTCCTTTTGCCGCATACTGTCGCTGCAGACGTCGCCAGGACGCTCTGGGGGATCACCTCGCCGCATGCCCTCGCTCCGGTGTTTTGCGCGCGAAAGCGTGCTGCAGCACGTGTTTGCCGTGAAGCTGGTGTTAGTGTTGCCACCAACGTTTTGGTACGGGACCTCACGACAGGACGACCGCCGCATCGAGGTCATCGCCAAGGGCTTGCCACCTTGTGGGGGTGTACAGGTTGCGGTCGACACGACCCTCGTGTCTCCCCCGACAGCACTCTGCAACTCCGGACGCTGCCGCCTAGTCGTGCTTGGCATAGAAACCGGCGGCAGGAGGAGCGCAGAAGCTGTTACCTTCCTCCGGCTCTTTGCCCGTTGCCGAGCCCGGTCCGCTCCCCCACCCCTGCAAAGTGCCTGCGTCTCTGCCTACGTGCTGCGGTGGTCCGCCCTGCTCGCATGTGCCGCTGCCCGTGCCTTCGCGAGCAGCCTCCTCTCCCTACCGCTTTCCGGTGCAGCCAATGTCGACGGAGATCCCCCCCTCCTCAGCGACCTTCTCGCCGAACCATCGGCCCCACTTCCTTTTGCCAGCCGCAAGCTCTGACATGCCTTGCTGCCTTTCCGTAGCCTGGCCCTGGATTGGGGCGCCAACGCACTGGGACCGCGTGAACAACAAAACGGTGTGCTTGGGGGGGAGAAAGTTGTGCTAGCTTGAAAACAAGCCTTAACATTAGTACAATGGTTTTGGGTTGAGTATTTAACAATTAGCGAATAATTATCAATGTCAGTATGAGTAGTAGTAGTAGTAGTAGTAGTAGTAGTAGTAGTAGTAGTAGTAGTAGTAGTAGTAGTAGTAGTAGTAGTAGTAGTAGTAGTAGTAGTAGTAGTAGTAGTAGTAGTAGTAGTAGTAGTAGTAGTAGTAGTAGTATAGTTTTTTTTGACAAACTGAAGAGTACATATATGTACATATGTTAGTATTCGCAGGAGTGGCAGTGCTTATATAAAATACTGGTATTTGTAAGATACGGGCATTACGGCATACTTGTCATTTGTGACTCCCTAGGCTCTTGGGACGTTCTTGAACGTTTGTCTTCACGAACCTTGTTGTCCAACAGCCGACCAGGGAGTCACAATGACAGGTGGTTCAACGGCTGAAAATGGAGACTCTTCCAGGGTTTTGGTACATGCCAGCACATGCACCCGATTGTTTTGATCTTTGAAACGGAAAACCGGGAGTCACAAATGACTGTAGTCAGTTTGCCCGAATCTGCAATATTTCCTAGGCGCGGTCCTAATTTTTTAAGAAATCCTAGTTTTCCTTCGGCGGGGTGCATTTTTTGGCTGAAAATGCAGTTTTTCCCAGGCGCGGTGCACTTTCGCATGAAAGTAGTGTTTTTCCCCTAGGAGGGGTGTATTTTTCGCACAACCAGATGCTTGCTTCCCATATAGAAGTAATATATAATATATAAGATAATATATATATATATATATATATATATAATAGACAATATCTATTTTATCTATATATATATAATAGACAATATATATTTTATCTATAATATGTAATATATAATATATCATGTATCATATATAATGCATAATACGTAACATGCAACACAAGATATACAATATAAAATGCACAGTATAAAATATACAACATAGCAAAAATAGTATATAATATGCAGTATATATTATATAATGTTTAGTATGTAGTATATATAAAATAACATAGAATACATGATAAATAGTATATAAGAAAAAACATATAAATTTTGAATGTAAAATATATAGTATATTACATATAATATGTCATGAAACCCCAAGGGATGAATCCAAGAAGAACGTTTCACCGAAGACGGAAAACCCTAAGGAGTGAACCCAGCAGGAACCTATTACCGAAGACAAAACCCTAAGGACTGAATCCAGCAGGCACCTTTTGCCCAAGGTGAAACCCTAAGGGGTGAATCCAAGGAGAACTTTTCATCGAAGACAAAGGCCCTAAGGAATGAACCCAGCGGGAACCTATTATCGAAGACAACACCTTAGGGAGTGACCCGAAGGAAGGAATCCAGCAGGAAGCTTCGACCGAAAAGGAAAACCTGTCCAAAACAAGAAAAAGTAGGGAGTCACAGATGGCCAGAGCAAGAAAAAGCGGGGAGTCACAGATGACCCGTGTTGCTGTGTGAAAATAACATTGAAAAGCAAGACAAAAGGGTCGGGAGTCACAGATGACAGGCGCTTGTTTGAGAAGAAATCACAGGCCTGCCCATGAATAAGAACACTTTCGGGTGAGGTGATGTGTGGTGATGCCAGGCGGAGGGAGTCACAAATGACGGTGATTTACCTGGCCAAGAGCCAGGAAAGTAGGGAGTCACAAATGACAGGTGTGCCGGCATTGGGGTCTGGCAAAGTATCAAATTAATCCTACGGCGCCGCGCCACTGGGTGGCGCGCTCTGCTGCGATGCGACCCTAGTTTCGCCTCTCACGCGCGACGGCGAACCCCACCCAGGCGCGGCCGCACAGGATGGAGCGGTTCTGCGCACCGCCTATCGGCGCAAACAAGCCACCTACCCCGAGCTCGCGGCAGGTGGCGCACAAGCCCTCTGCGTGCTCGGCTGCGAAGTGGGTGGGCGGTGGAACGCTGACGCAGTGAAGCTGGTCCAACGCCTCGTCGCACTCCGTGCGTACCGAGCCCCGCCTGCGTTGCGAGCCTCCGCAAAGACAGCCTGGGCCCGCCGTTGGTGGAGCGTGCTCTCCGTAGCGGTCCAGCAGGCCGTTGGTCACACGGCGTTAGGGCGCGCCCGGGCCATGCCGGGACCGGCACACACCGATGCGCCGGCCCTGGATGAAGTCTTCCACCTGGCCGACCCAGACGGGCCGAGCCGCCTGGCGCTGCGCTGAACCGGCCCTAACTCGGGACCGTGACCGTACTCCACTAGGAGCGGGACCTTCCTGCTGACGGAAAAAGGCGCGTAAAAAAAAAAAAAAAATAATGCTAATCTTCATGTGGTGATTTGTATTGGTAGGAAACTGCGTAAAAGTTTCAGAACCCTGGGGTATTGAAAAGCCATAACTGCTTCAGGCCGGCTCTCGCGGAGCAGCTTCATCAAAATACTTCTATGTGGTGCTACGACGCCATTATTCGTAATGCGCATGTATTTTCGCAGAGAGGGGCTTCCCGCCTGGAACCCGTCGCAGCATAGCGCCTCGTCGAGCCGGGTAACACTTCGCGCCGGCAATCGTCCGGGTCGATAACAGGGGCAGGAGTCCGAGCGAGCTATTGCTGCGGAACACCCTAGCCCTCCGGCCCGACTGCGTCACGCACGACCTTGATCCACACTTGCTCAACTTGCGTGTACAGGACAAGATTGTGCCAGTGCTATCAGCGTCATAATCAAGACTGCCACTGCGACTCCGACCTTGCTTTCTTGTCACACGGAACATGACTGAAGGATAGTGAAGGAACGTAAAAAAAAAAACGTCAGCTCGGTCAAACCCTCGTGTCGAGACGCATCGTTGATGCGGCGAAGATGTAAACTTGTATGCGAATTGTCCGTTGCTGGTTCGATATGGTCTCTAGTATCTAGTGTCTCTATAGACCAAGCTGATAACCGTCCATGTTTATCCCAGGCGATACAGTAATAACTGAAGGCTATGTCCGTTCGGGTGTGCACCGTGTTCGAAGGGTGAGTGTGGTATGCCGGGATGGAACGAGAGAGAATCGGGCTTGAAATAAATCAATGTTGAGTCGGCTTTACAAAACCAAACTGTCGGTAGGTAAACCACTGGAGTTGTGCTTTTTGACGAGTTCGCCGTTCCGTTCCTCTCGGCAGAACCACAGTGTTTTCCCAGCTTCAAAGTGAGCCAATATACCCCCCCGGCTTCCAAAACTCGATACATGAAGGATTCAGCTCGCCGAATGCCAGAGCAGGTGTGCTGAGCGGCTCACCAAAATCGATGACAGCTTGGAGGCCGGCGTGTTTTGTCGAGAATCGTTTGTGTCGTTTTGGCTGTGATGCACGTCTATGTAGTTTGGCATCGTTCTAGTCATGTTGAGGTGCTTCATGCGTGCCGAAAACTTGGTTCTTGGGAGTTGGCGCTTCAATTCTGGAGCAGGCCGGCCAGCAGCTGTTTCCTCCAAAGGCTGACATGACGATTAGCTATTGTTCTTTGTTGTTTGGCCAGGTTTCAGCGCGAGTTGCCTCATGCATCCACCGCGAATGCGCGTAGCTCGGGTGCTTGCGTATGCGTGTCAGTCGCGAGTTTTAATCTTGGCAACATCGTGCATGAGGTTTGCATCGCGGCGTGCGGCGAAAATGAAGCTTGGAGCCATTCTGTGGTGGTTTTCGACGCTATGATGTCAACCGGCGTGGAACCTGACATCAGTTCGCGCGGCTCTTAATACAAGGGGTTTCACTTCTGTCAGGGTTCGGCCAAACGACGCCGGTGCAGACGTACCTGTGGAAGTGCTTTTGCGATCCACATGGCACTCAGGCACAACGCAATCGCGAATGTTTGCAGCAGGCAGGCCCCCGCTGGACTGACGCACAAAGAGTAAGAGTGACACGGCCAGCTTATGTATGCACGGTTTTGTGCTACCGGAAAAAAGACAAGTTTCTTGTGGCTGTATTGGAAACTGTTTTGTCAGGATAATGGAGGCTGGGTGGCATCACGCCATCCAAATCCTGAAGGATGTTTGACCTTGCGGCGCTTTCTTTCACATGTTGGATGCGTCTGGAACTCTCGCCAGGAAGGCGAGTCTAACCTCTTGGACTTGGACTCTGTCAGTTTGAACACCTTGGCAGGCAACGGAAGTCAACGGAAGGTAGTTACATAATGTTGATGTTTGTTTTGACAGTCACTCGCCAATCTGGTGTTTCAGCCGCGAAGTGACATACGACATGCCGGCAGGTATACTGGACTGGAGATTTTCAATCGCCTGTGTATCCCGAATGCGCTACCTCGGCCTTGTGCCGGATGCGGCTACTCGGTGTATAAGTGTATCAAAGAAAGTGTCCGCGGCATCATGAACCGATGCATAGGTGTCTTGGACTTCTGCGACAGCTGCAGCTGCTCGCAGCAGGGGGTGGTGCCGGGCGACTACCATCGCCACAGCTGGGGCCCAACATATCGAGGCCGGCACAATTACATGACCAGTTTTGGGAGTGCGCTGTATCTGGGCGTTGGTCATTTCTCGAATGCGATTCGATTATACACGACAAGGCCAAGACCGGTTCTGCTCCTTACGCCGCTGCATCCATTCCTGGATTTGTGCGTCATGGGCGCTGGGACCAATGCCTGCATGTGGTCTATGGACTCCGCGTCGGTTCATGAAAGCGGTTCTTCAAAGCATCTTACAGCAAGTAAACGACAAGGAGGATGCTGTGCTGATTGCGGACGAGATGTGTCGTGAAGGCTGCACTTGCGGCTGCTTGTTTTCGTCTTGGGGTCAAGCGTGAACATGTGTGTTTGCCACCTAGAGTGCCATCACAGGACAACTTGATTGATTGGTTTCAGCACCAGGTGACGACGTGAGCGATGCCGTGGTGAACGGTGCCATAAGCGCGTATCTTGGCCATGAAAGCCATGCTCTAGCAGTTCTCAGGTGTACTGGTAGCAGGAATTGAAGATGACAATGTCTCGTGTCATTTACGGAAGTGGTATTCAGGATTATTAAGGATAGTTTGGGATGTGAGCTGGGCAGCATTTTACACTTACGTTAGGACTCAGGTGTGCTGACGCGCGCCGCTGGAATGCGGCATTGGGCTTGGCTACTCGTTCAACTTCTCGACAACTTCAACCATCGCTCATAACCGTCAACACTGCAGCTTGGACCCGATGCGATTCGATAGGGTAGCACCATGTAGCACCCAAAAGAAGCTGCCCAGTTTGATAGTTTTTCTAGGTTCATGTGCTGCAAGGACAAGTTGACATCTCACGAGCATGAGGGGAATCGGGCCCTGTGGGCCGCGGACAGGTGCTGAGTTCTTGCGGTGGTTCTTCCGTGTGGGACGGTGCTGTCGGACCGGGCGTGCAAACCGTCAACATCGCATGGTTTAGTGCATGGGTCGCCTGTTCAACCTTTACAGTACAATATGTTTACGACAGGCACCCACACTCGCTCTATGGAACTATTGGAATTATGCAGAGTCTCGCAGAGTATGTTTGCACCCTTTGGCTGCCTTGCCCGACGAAGCAAAGCCTAGACTTTTGCTGCGGCATTGCTTCCGTTGCACTCCTGTGCTGCCGGAGGATGGTTACACATGGCCCGATGTACGGCCACCCTTAGTACTAGTTTCTTGTGCCCTGTTCAGCAACGATTCTTTTCTTGGTGCAGGGTCAGCATGGCGGTTGACTTTTAGCACATGTCCGAGTCATCCGATGCAAAGGTTGGGATGTTTTCACGTACAGTGCGTGGATCTCAAGCTACACCGCGGCTGCTCTTTGGCAGGCACTCCACTCACGGATTCTGGTTCATGCTGAGTTTTCTTGCAAGAGTAGACCTTCAGGTCTTGTGCTTGGGTTTTTAGGTGGCGGCGTCTTGAAATGTCTTGAAGACAGTCAGCATGGCTGCTTCTTTTGATTTGCCGACCCTGGTCAGCGAGAATGCCTCGACGACATAGCCCCATGCGAATCTCTATAGATCTGCTGGTTCCAACCACTGCACACCAAAAAGCATCCATGCCTGCACCACCTTCCACAACAGCGCAAACCCCGTTAACTCTAAAACGCCAAATGGATCCAGGTAGCGACGCTGAGCCCTAGTTGAACCCCATACAATTCTGGAGCGAGCTGGCCGACTCTTTACCATATATGGACTTCTTCCAGTGTTGTTCAGTGCCTGTGGCAAGCTAACCTACTTTCACCTTGTTCTCATGTTCGCTTTCACAGATGAAGCGACATCGAAAGAGCACGAACCACAACTTTCCATGGAGAGGGAGGCAGAGCCTTTTTCTCCGAATGGCGACAGGCCGCACTTCGCACCTTGGCCCTGGCTCGCCATGCCGCTGCTGTCTCAGACTCTCGCCGGACATGCAGGATCTTCCGTTTACATAAGGCTTCGGTTTGACATTTCGCATTTATGGGACGCTTCAGGGAAGACTTGAATATTAATTGCACCAGAGGTTGCAGAAGAATGTCGTAAGAGTTTGTGCACCATAAACCTCGCCTGCTTGCCGAGAGCGGGTGACAAAAAGAGTTTGTGCACGAAGTTGAAAGGTTGCCAGCCAAACTGCCGGTCTGGCGGCTCTTGGGTGTGCGCGGCAGTGGCTCAACTCTGACGGCTTTTCGTCAGTCCGGGGTACAGGGCTTGATTCGGGCTAATCGCTTTCAGTCGAGCATGTTTGGCAGATTTATGAGGCTTGACATGTTTGATTGCATTGTTTGGTTGCCCGAATTTGTGTTCAGGGGCTGTGCTAGTAATTATTACCATGCAGTAGGAGATTTGATTGTTGGCTTCTGGGTTGAGTTCCGGATGAGCAACACCTGTTGCCGGGGATATTGAGGATTCCTGGCCCTGGTCCTGTCATGAAGCGTGTAGCTGGCCGGCGTGAGTCCGTCGCAGCTTCGAGCAGGTGGAGGCGCATGCTTGGCCTTCTTGCGGCGAGCGAGATGCAGCCGGCGGCCAGCATGGCGCCAGAATGCGTGAACGCTGCTCTTCAAGGATGCTTCGACAGCCGGAGGTGCAATGTCATGTTGGCTTCCGTTTGCTTCTGCTTCATACCATCTGATACAGTACGTGCCGGGGCTACTTCTGCTATTAGCTGTATGTGTACACTCCGCAGCAAGGTAGGGACAGACACACACTACGAGGTGCAAAGGACACTCACCATGTGCGGTGGCAGGATGCTGTTGGCCGAGTATTCAGCGGCAGAACCTCAACTTTTCGCTGGCTGCCTGCCTGAGATATTGCGTATCTGAGGTGGCCTGTGTCTCTCGACTTACTCACAGTTTCGCAGATGCTGCGCATCGACATCGATCAGACTGGCTTAGCTTGTTTGATCCGTACTTGCGGAAGCCGGGCAGTCAACAGTAAGTTTTCGTTGTTGCAGTCGGTTGTGTTGCTGCTGCAACGCAGATATGATGGCGATGGGGGTGTCAGGTCACTGAAAGGCCTCGTTTAGAGCTGTGCATGTTGCTCTGGTTGGAAGGAGGTTGACCTTACTTGTAGCTGTTCTGTGGTGGGTTTCGGTAGCCTGTGCCTGCCATGCGTGTTGAAACTGTCGCTGTCACAGCGAATGGTACAGATACATCTCGTAGCCAGGAAAGAATGATTCCCACAAGCTCTAGTTCGCAGTCTCGAAGCAGTGCAGCCAAGGAGGTGCTTTGCTGTGGGTTGCGGCGATGGACTTGCTGGATGCTTTGTGGCATGCCGATGTGTCCTTCTTTGTTGTTGAACACAAAAGCTCCTGCAGAAACTCGTTTGTCCCCCGCCGTCGAAACCCATGGCAACTGGCCTCGACCGTTAGAGGGACCTGCAGCTCCTCTCCTACACCGTTTGGACATGTCTGGACATCTTAAACGCACCTGAACCTTCAACGCTGAAGTCCGGTGAGCAAAAACCTCAAGGCCCCGAACGCAAACAAGGCATGTCTTGTCCCGGTGCCAAAAACCCAGACTCCAGAGGCAGTGCACGAATAAGATGATCAGCGCAAGCCCGGCAGGCAAAAATGTATTGTATAATTACTCACGAAGCCGTATGCTTACATGTTGCAGAAGCATGCATATGTTTACATGATCTTCCTCTGACGCTCCACGCAAGCCCCCAGCACCCTGAACTTCATAAGCTTGGCACAGTCCGACTTTGCGAGAGTGTAGATCCCGGCAGCCCGCGCAGCCCCGGAGTCGAAAGCAACATCATCGCATAACACATTTTTCGTTATACAGAACTCACATACACGAACGCATATACATGTATACATATGTATAAGAAGAAGGTATGTTTTTTAGAATTCATTGATTTTGAGATTTATGTCAGCTGAAGCCCTAGATCAGGAGCCCCACGAAACCGCGAAGTCTCAGCTGTTGTCAAGGAGGCTGGCGGCCCATGGCCCCCAGCTGCTGGGGATCAGACCTGGAATGCGAACTGCTGGGCGGATGAGTCGGCTTCAACTCCGGAATCTGGGATCAGATTTTTTTTTGGGGGGGTTCAGGCTTCATGATAGGGTTTATGGCCTATACAGGTCCAGGCTCTCGGGTTTAAGTCTTGGTTTAGGCAGAAAGGGCTAAGGGCCCGGGGTTTGGTCTGGGGCTTTTGGGTTTTCAGGTTGGTTTGAGGGTGTTTGGGTGGCTTGGTTGAGGGTGTTTTATGGGTTTGCCATTTGAAACTGTTGGATGCGGAGTAGGTGGTGGGTAGTGATGGCTTGCAGAGTATTGCAGTGCAATGCAGGCGTTGAAAGGAGTTGAAAGGCCGCCGAGCAGTACACCCTTAGTGCGGAAATACGCTGTTTGGCAGTTGCAATAATTAGCCGGAAGACTAGCATCTGTCCCAAGCAACAGCACTTGCACCTCGCTCCCATCATATTTCCTAACTAAGGTGCAGCTACCAAGAGACTGGCCCATCCTGGCCGGAGGCCAACGATGAAGGAGCCCGCAAGAACGTAAGAGAGCACAGGCAGGTCGTGGGAATTGGCACCCGGACGCACATGGCAGCGTCAACCTTTTCTGTGGAAGCAATCGATGGAGTCGTGTCAGGCTGGTGACTGCCCTTGCAAGAAATAAGAAGCGTCAAAGGGGATTTTGGAAGTGAAGCAGAGAACGGAACGGACTTGATTTTGTATTTCGGTTGGAAGCCTGCGGCACATTCGCAGTCGTCAGCCCGGCCACTGACATCACGAAGCTCCAGATCGCCCTCAATGGCGTTCGGGAAGGAATGCAGCTCAGAGAGGTTGCAGAAGACGAGCCAGAGATCTTCCTTCACAATACCAGTTTGTTGTTTTATTTGTTTGCTGAGCCATTGGACTGGTCAAGAGTTCGTCAAGCGGAGCAGTTGCAGAAGGCCAAGGTTTCATGACGTGCACGTCAATGCGAAGCAGAACTCTCCCGCATGAACATCCATGGATCCAGAGAGCATGATCTGCATCGACTCTGTCAAGGCATTCCGGCAGAATTAAAGGACCCTACCATCGTCACTCGCCGTATCCGAGGCTGTGAGTCTGTGCGCAGAGCTTCGAATCAAGATAACGGAGCTCCTATGACACAATCTGATGTGTCGCCTCTAAACTCTGGGCTTTCAATAAAATTCTGTCGAGCCCAACTTCAGCTATCGGCATCCTGTGGACCACATGGTGGGAGAAGTTGAGTCACTTGAAGGATTGGAAGCCTTGGCGACGCCAGCAGCTTCGAGCAAAGCATGCGCCATGCGCATCGTTTTCCCTTCGCTGCCCAACCTCAGTCGATCAGATCCTCCACGATTCCACAATTCCACAAGTCTCAGCTCGAACATGCTTCAAAAAACCCAGAGCTGGAAAGCGACAGGCGACGCAGCCGTCTCCTTGCATCACTCGGCGAGCTTCCGCAACAACAACCAATGTATAGGGTGTGTGATTGTAGGATTCTTGGTCATGCAGGCGGCAGCAGAAAAGACTGCGACCTCAGGGACCCCACACATCAGAGGTGCCAGTCGGGCAAGTTTAGTGCATCCTGATGCCCTTGCCTCATCATGGCCAGATTACGGCCCACTTATATCAGTTCATGTTATTTGCATATGTGACAGGCAGTCCAACGCAGCGAGTAGAAGTAAGTGTCCGCCTTGCGACCTCTATACGGTTCAAGTCAGGGTGTGAGAAGCACGAACCTACGATCGCAAGCATCCCACCCATGAGTTTCCGGGCTCTGATGACGGCGACCCAGCAATCCCGCAGAAAGTGAAGCCATTGCCACATCGCCAAGCATTGTTCGCATGACTCCTACCTGGATGTTTAGCAGCTACATCCTGCCCAGCCCTACTCCGGCTCGCGCCATGGAGGTCCCTGCAGCTGCGGTTCGTTGCCTAGTTTGCGTGTTCCAAGATAGGATTCTGGTGTCTTTCAGGCGTTTGTGCTTTCTGTCGTCTGTATCTATGCTTGCGAAATGTTGCCAAGATAGGTTTGCGCGGTGTGATTGCAATGCTTCTAGGCAAGCTCTGCATGTGAGTACGAATGTCCCGACAGATTTCAACCTGCGGTGACTTCAGTAGTCCTTGCCGTCATGCAATGTTCACGATCGGCATTCGGCACAAATCTCTCAGTGCAGCTACTGTACTAGTTCCGTGCTTATTCAATCTCGTCCGTCCTCCATCTCCGGTTCACCGAGGTCTGAAATCAGCAAGAAGAAACGTCTTGCACGCTACTCGCATCACATGTCGTCGGCCTGGTCGTCCGACCACCACCACCGCCACCACCACCACCACCACCACCACCACCACCACCACCACAGCTGCAGTCACAGCCACAGCCACAGCCACTGCCGCCGCCACATCCACCACCACCACCACCACCACCACCACCACCACCACCACCACCACCACCATCACCAGTGCACCACGTCTACGATCAACACCACCGGAAATTTCTGCCACTGCTACTACTGCTGTTCGATGTGATCGTTCTTTCCAGCACTGTGGACATTGTCTAGTTCTGCGTCAGCCTACGCAGGACCTTGCCAGCAAGCCCGCTGCTTTCGCTATACTGCCAACACGTTCGCAGCCCCCGTCGTGGGACCCGTCGTCGTCATTTCTCATTTCTTTCTGATCATCTCTCTTCATCTCTCTTCCAGTGTTACCTGTGCAGGTCGCCCCTCGGGCCGATGCTCCTGGCAGGGCCGCGGCCCTCAACGTCGGTAACAATTTCGGGGGCGGGGGGTTAGAATTCAGAATGTTCTTGTTCTGGAGAGGGCTCGATGCAGAGCCCAGCGTGAAACTTTTGAAGCCTGCGGTCATATCGAGTCATATCTGGACAGAAATCCATCGGTTGGACCTCCGTCAGTAACACCGGACACTGAAGCATAGTGCCAGGTGCTGCAGCCTTGTTGAAATTTGCTCTCAGTGCAAGGTTCGTCTCGGTGCCGTGCTAGTTCTTCTGGTGGCGTCGCCTGGAAGAATTGGATGGCTCTTGAGGGTTGAGCGCAAAAGTCCAGATCGATTGGTCCTGTGCCGGAGTTGCGTTGACAAGGCATTACAAGGGAAGCACCAGGATCATGCTGCTTGTGATCCATCATTTCCCGAACTCTTCAATGCATTGCTCGAGGGAGAGAGAGAGAGAGAGAGAGAGAGAGAGAGAGAGAGAGAGAGAGAGAGAGAGAGACCGCGGGGGCTCGCCGTCAGGCCCGGAGAAAGAAAGAGAGAGAGAGAGAGAGAGAGAGAGAGAGAGAGTGAGAGAGAGAGAGAGAGAGAATGAGCTCATTCTCCCGCATGTCATTCGTTGCCGAAGGTTGGCTTTCCAAGCAATGACATTTGTCAACTTGCAGCGGCCTCAGGTGAATCTTTTGTGGGTTGGTTTCCGGCTTCATGAACCGAATGCCAGGGGATGATTTCGGGTGCCGTCGGGTTCTAAACTTCAAGACTTTCTCGCAAGAGAGCTCTGCTGCAGACTGGCGTTCCGCAGGATTCGTGCATCTCTGGCGCATGTTGGCACGCAAAAGGCTTGTTCATCATGCCCCTTATGCAGGTCAGCAGGTTGTCAGTGGTTCTCATTGGTACAGCAGCCCGGTTACTCCGGACAGTTCGTGCCCCCAAAACGGGCTGCTCATCGCCAACTCTGAAACCTCAAGCTTCCCCGCGCCCTGAACCAGACATGTTGTTTTTGTGGTAGTCTTAGTCTTGCAACACGTACATGGGCGCTTTCATGGGGTGCTGTCCGACGGCTGCGGCCAGCAATCGGGTGAGTGTGGACAGCTTTCCGTCGGATGCGGTGATCTACGCGCGGGACGATCACGCCAGCACGTTTCAACAGGTCAGACTAGCACGGGATCTGCATAAATTTGCGGGTGGTACACTTTGGCTGGAGTTTGTCTACGAGGACATCCTGGAGGAGGTGAGGAAGGCTTTTGCTACCCAAAGCATCGAGGACGATGCTGAAGCACTGGATGCTGTGCTCGCGTCCATTGAGCACAACGGCTGGTCCGTCGAGTTTAACAAGTCCCTCGTGAATTTGCTGGTCGTTGCAAGGAAACATGGCATGAAGTTTCACGCTTTGGATGATCCCGAGTGGTCCAAAGATGCTTTCATCGCGAAGTACGGTAGCAATCTGGGTGGCATGCGCTACTTGGCCACTGCGGCTTTCAGAAGTAAAATTGTGGTTCTTTTCCCTTTAGCAGCCCTCATCGGCTACTTCTTGTAATTTGAGCAACATCAGCCAATGACAAGTATACGAACGCACGCACACAATCGCACACAAGCTTCAAGCTGTTCCTCACCCTCTTTGCTAAAGCGTTCATGCTGGAGCCAGCAAGGCCAATCGAGCATCACATCTTGACGACCATGAGGGAGCTACCTCAAGATGGTGTGACAAGATTGTCAAGATGAGGCCGACTGCCTGAAGCGTCGGACTAGATAAGGTGTGGCCCATGCAGAAGACAGAGACCTCAATCATATGGGGGCCCGCACGTCCGTGGGCAGAGAGTTTTAAGTTTCAGCCAATGCTACCTAAACCAAACAGGACCCACTACGCGAAGAAGAAAGCCGCCTAGAAAAGCAGGTCCCAGCAGCCGGGGCCCATTGTCATTCTGGGTGGTGCTGAACACGGGCCACCTCTCGTAGAGTTCATGAAAGCACGCATCAAAGCTGAAGTGCGCTTCATGTGGCTTGGCCGGCCAAAGGTGTTCCTTACTGTTTTCTTGAGTTGGCGGGCTCTACTATCGAAGCAATTCAACCACCAAACAAACAGACCTTTTCGGCGGCATTGACATGCTGGCCCGATGTTCATACACAGGTACGCTGATTTTGAAGAAACTCATTGAAAAGGGCGCAGGCAGAGGGGACTACCTTTGGATCCGGGAGCCTTGGATGCATCATCCATGTTCTCCTTAGGTTCTAAACTTCGAGCCTCAAACTTGTAGTGCTTCAGACTGGCAGAGGATTGGGGATGCATGGTTTCAGTTTATAGTAAACGTTACATATCAGCGGTTTACCGTGAAAAGCCGCGCAAGCACAGAGCGCCCGTGTTCATAGGTTCGTGGGCGCATTTAGGCTACATATGCTTGAGTATAATAACATCTACATACAGAGTCGCATCAGGTCCGTCGATCACACTGTATCTATGTATCTTATACATACTATTTATGTATACACCTATAGAGGGATTTTTATAGTTTCAATATAGATATGTACAAGTTTTTGTACCTATGTACCAACCTCCCTCACTCCCTCCCTCCATCCGTCCATCCATCCATCTAAAAAACATTCACGCAGAGAGGGAGGAAAGAACTTGCAAAGCTGGTAACACAGCAGACAGAACCAGATCTGGAGCTCGGATGTCAACGCTTGTACCATGACCAGGCTGTTCAGTCGTGCACTTGTTTACTTTCAGGTTTCTGGGTTCCTATTATAAGATAAGAAGCCTAAAAGAGTACATGCTCTTTCCCAGTGGGTTACTGAACAGCCTAGATGCAGTCCAAAAGCTCATTGGCCAAGCCCTCCGAAGCTAAATACACGATGTTTCAGTGCTAAAGACAGTTTCGAAGGTTTCGAAGGTCATGGAGGTAAGAAGAATCCACATTTGTGCTGCCTCATGTGTTCTTGCCTTTGTTGTTAATGGCTTTGCGTGGCAGGCAGGGTAGTATTGTTTTGCTCTGGCTTCCAGTATTGCTTGCTTCCGATTCTTTGATGTTTTCAGCTTCCGCTTGAAGCTTCACGGTTGGTTCCATTCTGACGTGAGGAGTTTCGGACCAACTTGCCGGTGCTATGATCTGCTTGTTCACGTCGCCTGATGTTTGGGCAGAACGAGAGCACAAGATTCTGTAGATTTTGTCTCATCTAGCAATTGGGTTGGACTGCTTTCCAGTGCGGTCTGGCTACGTGTTGCTCGGTGCCGGTGAACAACGCTGGCTGACACGAGCGCCGCCTTTTCTGCAGACTTTGCCGATGCTGCTACATCCCTCCTTGGACAGAATGTCTCCTCCAAGCACTCAGCGTCTTGATAGAAGGGCCACTACCATTCACATTCTGACGCCAGTTGCACCAAGTCCGGTACTATAGAGTAGCATCAGCATACCGTCAACTCCTACCAGTAGCAGAGCTTGCGGTCCATCCGTCGAAGCTTCGGTGCTGGTTCTAAAGGCTGCGAGCACATCGGTCATCGTGCAGAGCTTTCGTTATGTTTCAGTTTCACTCGCGCGATGCACCATCCTATAGCCGGTGTGGGAGAAGTACGGACGGTCAAGGCGGTCCAGGGTCTCATCGGCAGCATTAAGCTTCCCTTTGCCGTTACCTTTGCAGATCGGCCTGCTGGCCAGAGCAGGTAGAATGCTTTGGGTTTGGAGAGGCTCTAGTAGTGTAGCAAAATGGTAGACGTCCGAGCATAGGTCGAGTTGTCGGGGATAGGGTCCTGCCCTTTGCTTTCGGATTTCGTCATGCCTGCAAATAATGAAGCGGCGCCGTTTGCGTCGTTGTTACGGTTTCCCCTGTCATGCAGCCGTAAACGCGGGAAACGACAGCAAATGCATAGAATGTTGAGTGTGCACACACGCATGCATGCATGCATGTCCACATGCATGTATGTATGTATGTATGCCTGTGTGTACGTATGTATGTAAGCATGCATGAATGAATGTATGTTTGCATGTGCAGGAGCAGGTTGTTTCTTTCAATGGTGATGATGTTTGTTGGTATCAGTAATATTAACTTAATATCGTTCATGTATGTTGTATGTATGTATGTATACACACATGCACAAAGCTGTTTATGCTCCCCTCAAACTAAAACACAAACGCAAGCATGTTCCATGAGTTTTGTATGCTACCGATTCGCCTCATTCGCATTCTCATGTGTTTACTGTACGCACATCCACATGCCAGAGACCCACGACCTGCACACTAACGAGCGCTAATTCGCATGGACCCTAGATCCGCTGCTCTTGTTGAAAAAACAAGCTCTGCTAAACAGACTGGTGCCAAGCAGTGCTTCCGACCCCGCTTATTTGTTTCAAGGATTACCCGCTCAGCAGCATTCCTTTTTTAAGGAAATCCCTCTCTGCAAAATGCAACAATGAAAGTATATGCCAGCCGCTCGCAAAAGAAAAAAGCATCACGAGGAAGAACGGCCGGCAAATGATAATAGTATAGCTCAGCACGAGAACGAGATCAATTATGCACTACACACTCTACCAACCCGAAAGCGAAGAACGCCTCCCAGTTTCCAACCCCGACCTCGCGGCGACCTGGTGGCTATGCAAGGTGCGCCCGCTGTAAGCTTCTGTGGCCCCCTTGGATTTTGCACGGCTCAGGAGGGAATGCTGCCTAAATCTCTAACCCTATCAACATTTCCAAGCGAAACACGATTTGCTTGGGGCTGCCGGGGGGACTACGGACTAGGCTTTAGGAACACCGGCATGTGGCGGGTTTCTAGGCCCTCAATGCATCACCTACCCATGACACATGGCACTCTTCCAACTCGCAAGCCCTAAACCGTGCCTTGTCCGAGTGTGAGCGCCGAAACCGTGCCTTCAATCCTGCAATCTCTTCGAGCCAGGACTTTCAGAAGCCACGTTTGCTGCGTGGTTTGTCTGCTCCAAGAAAGGAAACCAATGAATTTGGCTTAAACTCGCCGGAGCCGAGCCAAGCCAGAAGCTGTCCGAGCTCCAAACCAAGCCCCATAAATCCTGCAACAAGGCTAGTGCATTGGCTTGTCAAAAACATCTTGCATGTTATAAGTGGTGCGTTGAAATAGTGCATTAAGTAGCATATTGTATGCATCTTAGCTCCATGTGTAGGGTAGTATACATATGTATATATATATATATATATGTATATATGTATATATATATAATGTGAATGTAAGGCGGCAAGTGGGGCAAGATTGGTGCTGGTCCGCCGAAGTATCATCTTCCAACAGGCCGGCAGGGCAGAAGGGCAGACGGTTCCGGGGTTTCCAGGCGTGCTATTGCTGCAAGTGGGGTTTTGCCCCTATGCCAGTATATTGCGCCAGGTATGTGTGTGTATGATGCATGTGTGCCTGCCTACCTGGCTGCCTTCGTACCTACTTGCAACCTACCTCCCTACCTCCCTACCGCGCACCGGGATGTAGTTCGCTCCTTGGACCAGGCTTCAGCTTCGAGGTATTGTGCCATTTCACAAAGACCTTGGCGCAATACTTTTTTATCCGGCGACACCTCTTAGATGACATACATGATGTCGATGACGGCCTGTATCCTGCCCTGTGGAGCTGTCATGTTCCCTCCTTCCGTGAGGGACCAGAAGAATCGCGGAGACATAAAGCATTGAATTCGGTTGATACTATTAAGCATTGCACAGGTGGTCCTAACATCACCAAGACAGAGGACATCCTGGCAATCCGGATGTAGCTGCCCGAGCTTAGCAAGTTTGTCTCCATCAATGTTCAGGGTGCCGGTGCAAGAGCCTGAGGATCCGGAGTGATGGGATCCAGGGTTGTTGAGAGCAGGGTGTAAATTCGTACAGTTGCCCGAAGCCTTGCACTGGACCACCCATTTGCTTGAATCCGCCTGAGCTGCGACAGACATCGTAGGCAGTTTGATGTGAACTGAACGTGTTGGGGCATGTTGAGATCACGTACTCCAGCCTCCTCAAGCCCTTTCCGAATCTCACAGCATGTAACAGCCAACCCAGTACCCGAACTCAACAGCGACAAAAACAATAGAGTTCTGCCAGGGGTAGGCAGGTAGACCGACAACTATGTATCGGCATATATATTTCGTATTTATATGTACATGTATTTGTACAGGTACGTGTACCTGCACATCCGTATACATGTATACATATCCATATATATATATATATATATATATGTATATGCATTGTGTATACATATATCATGTATGTATATATATATATATATATATATGTATATATATGTATATATATATATATATATATATATATATATGTACATATATGTGTATATATGTATATGTGTATGTGTGTGTTTTTGCTGTATACATGTTTATGGGCATATGTGTATGTGTATATGTGCCTCTGTGTGTGTATGTATGCATGTTTGTAGATATGTAATTAGATGTGTATGTATGCAGGTATGTTCATGTTAGCATGTACGTAAAAGCCGTTGTAGTTCTATATCACGGTATGCATGCAAATCTGGACGAGTGCATGTATTGCGCGACACTAAATCCCTATCCTTGACGCCAGAACCACGACGCTTATGAGACTGCTAAGCACGAAGAAGAGAGGAGAACACAGTAGTTCTGATGATTTCTGTTTCTGGTAATCATGAACACAAGAGCATCCAGCTCGCAAAGCCAGAGGCATGTTCGATGTGGGACGTGAAGCCTAAAGGGTTTTGGAAGGCGCCTCGCAGAAGATACTCATACCCAGGCCGTACCACTTCGATGATGCACCAGAAGCGCCCGAGTGGGCACAAAAGTGCGTGCCGCGCTTGGTTTGGGGTTTTCATGCTTAGCATCGCCCGTCTCCGGTCGCAACTGCAGGGCCCAATCAGATGACTAAGATCGCGAGTGTCGGCGGGTGCGGGGCCGGGGGCGGGCCGCGGTGGTTTTTTTGAGCAAATCAGCCCCACCTGCCCCACCCAAAATCTGGGAGCTTGGAAGCCAGAATGCAACTCGTAGGGGAGGAGGGTCGGTAGCCGGCAAGATGATGCAGCTAGCAGTTATCAGAATCACCAGAACTTAGTCCGATATGGGTGCGACCCAGAACCTATCAGGCCAGTCGAGCTGCGCCGAGCAGATTCCCCAAGCGGTCCAACCAACAGGTTCTCGGCAAACGAAATTTGTTTTCTTGTTTGTACGCAGCCAAAATCATGTCCCAATTTGCCATTTCCAAAGTTTCGCCAGCTCCTACATTTGGATATCAGCTTTCCGGTTGCTGCTTGGCTTCGAAAAAGTACGTTTCAACCAGGAAACACAAACCCGAAAAGAAATTGAGCTGATGTTCGTGTCGGACTTCTTTTTGCTTAATCGTGGGCGGGTTGCTGTGTTAGGAGGAGGGGGAAGAGGTTCCCCGACAGGAAAGAGGGAACCTCTGACCGCTTCGGGCCCGAGGCTAATATGTGATGAGTCTGGAACAGATTCCTTAGACTCAGGATCGGGTTAAGACCCGGACACGTCTGACAGATTGGACAGCAACCCTCACTTTTTTTAACTTGCATGTTGCACCAGGCTTGGTCTCCATAATGCCAGACAAGGGCTTGTTTACTATCTGTGGTTGAGGGATCCTTGCCACCTTGCCAAGGTGAAGACGCTGTCGAGCAGCAAATCAAAGGTAGAGGCTGGAGCTTCATGGTGCGGTGGACGCAGAGTTGCCTAGATGTCCGGCTTCAAGCTCGTTCCGAAGTTATCGAAAAACCGGCTTCGAGGTTCAGGAGTGGTTCAAAAGCCTTGCCCATGTGGGCACCTTGGGAATTGCGGCTTTGTTTCCTGTCATGCCAGGCCAGGAGAGCAGCCAGCGCTGAGCTGCAAGAGAAGCTTATGGAGCCGCCAGCCGCTCAGGGAATGGGACGCAAAGAATGCCTTCAGGCTTTCTGTGTGCTTGGGGCCTCGAGCTTTTGTTAAGGGCTTCTGGTGTGGTGATGGAACATGTGCATGCGCAGGCGTTGGGGGGGGTGCTTTTGCACTGACATGTGCAGTCAGCCCCCACAGCATGAAATCAACTCCTAAACAGTGTTAAACCTGACACGTGAAAATAAATTTCCATTTACCAATCTTGAAGCGTTAGGATGCTTGGGCGGGTTGAGGGCTGGGGTGTTTGCCAACGTTCAGTTTTATGCCCGCTGGCCAGCCTCTGTCCGTGCCCGTGTTCACGTTGAAAATGGCTTTTCCAAGCGGCAGTATTCACAGGCGAGTCAATACTTTGGCATGTCTTGGCACCGACTTGTGACAACCGTAGAATCGAGCTCCCATATTCCCGCTGACGCCGCCTGACATACAAACCTTGGGTTTTGTAGCATCCAAGGCCCCTGTGCATAGCAGCCATATTGAGAATCCAGTTTCACCGGAGTTGCTACGGTTACTGCTGCGTACGTACTCCTCCTCCTCCTGCTGCAGCTGCTGCTGCTGCTGGTCCTACTGCGCCGTACTACGCTACTACGACGACTACCATTAGTTCCATTACTACCAAAAATTGCTGCGAGAGGGACAATTACCATTACTACAATGCACCGCCACGGGGCCTACAACAACAAGTGCTCTTGCCACTACGACGACGACGACGACTAGTACGACGCCTGCAACAACCAGCAGGCAGCAGGCAACAGGCAACAGCCAACCAAAAACCAACAACCAACAGCAACAACAACAAAAACACAACCACAACAACCACAACCACAACGACAGCAAAAGCAGCATCAACAGCAACAGCAACAACAGCAATCAACAAGTAGTGCTACTTCGACTACGACTACGACGACGACTACTACTTCTTCTACTTCTACTTTTGCTACCACTACAATTACAACAGCAACTATCGCTGCTGCTTCTACTTCTACTTTTGCTGCCACTACAACTGCAACTACAACTATAAGTACCACTACCACCATAACTTATGTCCGAATAGTAAGTGAAACAATAGTACAGTAGTTGTATACCACATACTATTCACGATCATCAGAATCATAGTCCCTAAGACCCCAGGCTTCCGTCTCGACAGATGCTCTTGCTCGTAGACGCTCTTTACGACGAGGCTCGGAGCTGTTTGGGGTCAGTTCATGTCAAGCTTTCCGGCTTTCTGATTGTCACGCGTCAGGACTTTTGGATCTTAAATTGTTGGGGTTCCCATTCTCGTGCGGAGATCAAAGCTCGGAAGGACTGCAGTAGCCAATAGAGGGTGCACAAATCATGCGCATTGTGCAGATCAGCATATACGGTGCCGCGTCGCAGGCCCCCCACCCAACCGCCCCGTGGTATGCCCCTCCCCCCCCAAGCCAGGCCTCTCGTCCCAGCAAACAGGCAAACAGTCACACGTCATCCGAGTAACTGTCGACGTTCCCCACGGTATGCCTTCCCCAAGCCAGGTTTCTCGCCTCAAAAGGGCGGGAGGGATAACCCACAACACATGGAACCACAAGACAGGGAACCAAAGGGGCGGGGTGGGCAAGGATAACCCGCAACACAGGGCCCCTTCCCCTTCCCCTTCCCTTCCCCTTCGACGCACAGATGAGAATGATGGCCTTGATTTTGTGCACAATGATGTCGATGTGCTATTCCCAGTGTCGCTGTTGGTGGTTCCTCTGCTCTTCTGTTGCTCTGGGCTTCGGCATCGCATGTTCATTGCTGCATGTAGTTGCAAATCGTGCTTGGCTTGTGATGTCCTTGCGAAAACTTGCGGAAACTGTAACGACCGTTGTCATTCCAAGCCAAGTTTCGGTTGGGTTCGTTAAAAGTAAGCTTGAGCACATTTTTGAATGATTTTCATTCGGACTTGAGCAAGGAGAGTGCGGATGGGGATCATGACCACCATCTTCGTCATCATCATCACCAAAATGTTCATCGCTATCATTGGCTTTGGAGCTCAGGGACAGGTCGGAGTTCAGTGGAACTGTATCACATCCTATTGTCGAAACCCTTCGCAGCCGGACGCCCAACCAGCAATAGCCATGGAAGGGGGCGCAGCCGACCGCAACCACTGGGGGGGGGAGGAGCAGGAGGGAACCCACAGACAGGGAACAGTGATACCATGGGGGGCGGGGAGGGGAGCCTAGTGGCGCTGCACCATATATGATGAGAATCCTGTTAGGAAGCAGGGGAACACTGTTACGACGAAATCAAGCCCTTCCAGTCTTTTGAAGAATCATCTTTCCACTGTTGATCGCGGTCAACCTCTACTTTCAGACTCCTTCCAAGTGCCTTGCGAAAAATGAAAAGGTTTCAAGTTGACTCCTCAAGGAAGTCTACGCCCTAAACCAATGCAATGATGTGTTGGTAGAAAGCAAACCCTGCAATCGTAGGTGCAAGCCCCCAAAGCGATAGAAATTCCGCCCAACCAGATGACTTGCCAGGACCTCGAAGTCAGACTGACCATAGCGAAGCTGGACGTGGGAATGGATAGGGTCATTGCCTACTGCTACCGCTACTACTACTGCTGCTGCTGCGGCTGCTACTGCTACCCCTACTGCTCCCACTGCTGCTCCTGCTCCTGCTGCTGCTTGCTTGTGCTGCTGCTGTTACGACTACCACGACGACGACTACTCCTACTCCTACTGCATTGCGCTGCTGCTACTCCTGCTGCTACTCTTCCAGCTGCTTTTACTCCTGATACTACTGCTCCTGTGTGACAAAACTCCTCCACCTCCTCCTGCTACTGCTCTGCTCGTCCTCCTGCTACTCTTCCTTCTACTGCTACCACTCCTGCTACTGCTGCTCCTGCTACCACTACCAGTACAACTACCACTTCCACTGCCACTACCTCACTAACACCAGCACCACGACGACGACGACTACTACTACTGCGACTACCACTGCTGCTGCTAGCATTAGCACGAGCAGTAGCCAGAGCAGTTGCAGTATCTACCACTACCACTACGACGACGACGACCACTACTTTTACTTCTACTGCTACAGCTTCCGCTACCACTCTTTATCGCTACACTATCGGGTCGGCTTCTTGGTTTGCCTTTGGACTTCGTTCTTCAAATGCCCATGTACCTGTGTTCGCGCGCATGTAATAACAGCAATGGTTTATGTGCGTAGATTTGCTTGGTTGTTCATCATGTGCGGCACCAGCAGGTACACATGAACATAACCCTAAAGCCTAACACACTAACTATGCACAGTCGCCGACTCTGCGTAGAAGTGTGGATGGTAGCACGCGGTTTTCCGAGGTACCAGTGCTATTTACAAACAATCAAGGTCTGACCCGTGCATACTTGTTCAAGGCAGTCGTTTAGCAGCTGCTTGGGCGACTGAATGTGAAGGAAGCAAAAGGAACGTGCCCTTCATCTAGTCTCACGGATTTGAATATCCTGCGCAGGCAGCTGGGGTCAACACTGTGATACATTAAGCCTGCTAAGCCTTGGCTTGTTTGGCGTTATGCCCTCGCATAGGCATAGAGTCTCTCCTACAACGGCATGTGCTATATTGAACGAACCCCGCAGCTCAGGAGAGCCTTTCAAAATCTGTGTTCCTTGGACCGGTGGCCAATGGACGAATGGATTGCCGGGTCCTTGATTCGCCCCGGTTCGCTTCCTATTCATCCAGGGTCTCATGTCGACAGGGTGAGTGGTGAGGCTGCATCCAACGCAAGCTGATTGATGTCTTCACGGTTCTGCACGTCTTAGAAGTCCTTGAGCGTAGATCCTGAACACGACGGCGCAAGTTAACGAGGTGGTCAAAAGGAGGGACATGACTCCATCTCGGTCTGCGACGTTATTCTGCCATATGCATCAACTGCCGTAGCGTGTCGGTGCCAGCTGAGGGTCTCTGGAGCACTCTGAGGCTGTATAGAGCAGGATCGCGCGGGTTAATTAGGCAGTGTACACTGCCCTCAACAATGCATCGTTCGTGAACTCCCATAACAGCTGTGGCAAAGGCCCGCATCGCACGGAAGCTGGAGCCAGACTCCGCGCGCGACTTACTGTTTTCGACTACTTCGTGCTTCTTGCTATAAATCGGAATAAGACTTGGGTGAAAGACTATAGCGAAGTTTCCAGTGCACTCACGAGCAGCTTGACCTGGATTGCGTTGAACTCGAAACCCTAGAACTAGCACTCGAAAGCCTGTGAACCTGGCGAGGAAGTCGATCTCATGACACGAATCTTTTCTATGCGAGCTTTGGTCCTTGCCTGAGAGTGCTTCTGCTTCTGCTTTCACACCATTGAATCAAAGGGATGTCCTCCAGTTGGTGCATTTCCAGCGACGAGTTCACGAGGTCAGGGAAGCAGGTTTCCACGATTCCCTTTGACTTGAGGAACCGGTTTGGGTGAAAGGTTTGGAGCGCTGGCGAAGGGATCCACGGCTTAGTGACTTAGTGAAATGCAGTCAAAGGGTTTTTATGGTTCAGAGAGGGGAGCTTCCTTCAGCCTTCTGCGTCAATCCGATGCTTCTTCTTCAGACGTCCGGCCCCAGCCCGTGACTCAAAAAAGAGGTTCAGGGGCTTCTGGCTGAGGGCATGTGCTCTGCAGCTCCCTCTCTGGCAAAATCCCACCCCCCCCCCGCCGTTGCGACAGGGCTGGATCGGACCCTGGGCAGCGCATTACTCCGGAGCTTTGCGCCCGTACTTCGACCACGAGGATACCTTTGCATGCCCAGCCGCGACATTCAGAGCAACTACCAAGCATTTAACCCTTGACATGCATGTTTGCAGTTTGTTTTGGACCACCCCACAGCCCTGATACAATAAAGTGGAATCAGCGCTTCGCTACGCAATCAAAACAGGCTGCCACGAAATTTGAGTTACGCGGGCGGCACAAAAATGTATTCCGTGCCACATCATGCCCGAGAGAGTACCCAGGTATGCTTGTTTTCATCGTCATCGAAACCAAAATCACACAGAGAGACGGGCGATTGCCTTGTGAGCAGCTCACTACGTGCAAGCCCTCGCATGCCACACCAGCGGATTTCAACAATTGGACGTGTTTAAAGACATCCTTTGTTGCTGGGACAATGCTGGTGGCCACCACCAGCGTAACCGATGATGCGAAGTAGGAACATGATAACCCTAGCTTGTTCGATTTTCGGGGTTAGGGTTTATTGCTTAGGGTTTCGGGTGTAAGATTTAGGGGTCTCATGACCTTCTAGCTGCGAGGTTGTTCCAACTACAAGGCATCTGTCAGCACAAAGCCTCGTACTGTTCATGTCGCTGCCTCGCGCGAAGTCCTGCCAGACTGCGGCGGCAGTTTTGTTTTGTTTCATATTTCTATATCTTGGCAAGCATTTAAATACGGTTATCTGTTTTTGAAAATCGTTTTTTTCTGGTATTGTGGAAATTTCAAAAATCGGGCGCTCGCAATTTCCGTTTTTGAAAATCGTGGGGGCGTAGTTAAATGCCGCGCCGGTGCTTTTCTCAGATTTGACGAACCACAGGGAGAAGGAGTTGTACTACTTTTAATTGAAGGCCCTGAAGGCTGCGTGCTGTCGGGAGTCCCAAGCATTTAAATCCGGGGAGCTTTTTTGAAAAACGAAATTGGGTGGGTGGCGAAAATGCAAATTTGAGGCTGGTTCCGATTCGGAAGAGATTGCCACCAGTGGCACGAATAAAGGGTTTAAGCTCCAAAACCATCAGATCACTGCCAGGACGCTTGAGCCCCGAGTCTCCTCAAAAACTGCTTGGCGCAAATTCTAAGGATGTTTAATTAATAAAATGCCATCAGACCTCAGCCCGACCCTAAATGATTTAAGTGCAAACCAATATCGCTTCATCAGCCTACGATCTTCTTGAGCCCGTTGCAAAACCGCCAATTGCCAGGCTCAGGGCTGCTAGGGAGTGACGCTGTCGACTTCGGATTCATCCCTGTTGGAGTTCATGCGTGGCAGTTTGGGCATCCTGAGGTTACAACTTCCAGGGGGTATGTTCTAGGGTACAGCTATGGCCATCGTATTACATACTTCCTATTCAGACCTAATCCGCCCTAGCAGGCAACCTTGTTGCAGAACATTGCGGCTTGACTATTTTAGTGTTGCGTTTATGAGTATACAGAAACTTACATGTTAACAAAAAGGTATCCCGTTCCAGCGAAACCGGTACTTAGACGGATGGCTGAAATCTACTGCTCGACGTTGTTGCTTATTGCTGTTCACAGAAAATGTGTAGACAGGATTTTTTCGGCAAAACAAAAGTTAAGCGTCCGATTTTTAAATGCTTGCCAGTTCCTCCCAGACATGCACCGAAGTCCGTTCAACGCGATGCAGCAGACTGAAACGTACTATGCATTGACAGCAGTGTACTTTAACAGAATGTAGCACTACAGAAAGCAATGTAGTTCGGGGTAGGGCAATGTAATGTCACGCATTTTGTCATGTCTTTTGCTTTGCATATGTTCTGCGCAGGTTTGGAATGTGTGATAAAAATGCAAAATGTGACTGTTAACGCCATCGCTCTCCGGCTCCGTATGTGCAGGCTACATGCTGTTTCATGCATCTGCACATTCATCCATGCCACATTCAATCAGAAGACTTAAGTAGGACTAGCGTTGGATATCGGTCTGAAGTTTTGCCGGCGTATCAGAACTAGTGTGTGTGTGTGTGTGTGTGTCCATAGTATGAAAACGTGATCTACATTGCAGGGGAGCTTATAGTATGGCAGAAGCGGCAATGCAGTAGTAGGCTTTGCTGCGCTGGTAGCTGTGGTTATGGAGTGTGGAGATGGATGATTTGTTGCTTCAATACTTGAAGCAAGCGATCTGCCGGTCGTGTGACATGCTTGGCACGGGCAACCGCTGCGCAAGGAGGAATTCGTCCGCCTTTCCGCAATCGAGGCGGTGCGTGGGCCTGTGCCTAAGAAAGTCCCACGTATCCGGCGGAAAGTCGGTTTACGTTCTTCGGCGCTGAAGGGAACGACTCCTCCTCGAATTCGGGCCTTCTACCCGTATATTGCAACTCCCACATCCCAGCTCTCACCGACAAGCAGCAGCCCCAACATCCGACTAGTGACTAGAGAAAACGAATAGCAAGCTCAAGCCAGGTAGCCACAGCTTCTTCCCATGTCATGAGACTCAGTGTCACCCCATGCGACTCAGTGTCAGTGAGCCGAAGCTTCCTCGGGGATTCAGGTTTTCGACGATGTCCGCCTCGGAGGGGCTCAGGCCTAAGCTGCGAGGTTCTGCCCTGCGGTCCGTTTCGGAAAATTGTGTTGTGGGACCTTCTGTTCTTCGAAACTCGTAACCGAGCCCTGGACAGCTTCAGCGAGATTCCGCCCGGCTCCTGCCCTTGCCAGCCAAACACATGTCGCAGGCTGACTGAGGCGAGTAAGTTTTATCGCCAACATCCGGGACCAAGCTATAAGGGCGGCAGTCAAGGCTCTTTACATAAGTCATTAGACCTGCCAACTCCATGATCGACCCTCGCCGAGGCCTTCAGGTGAAGTTGGCAGGCACAAGAAGTCTTTAGCCTTGGGCCTCAGACATGGGAGCTGCCGCGAGAATCGGCGGAATGCTGTATTCGGGGTGCCCAGAAGCCTCCGATGCTTGGAGTAAGAGTTCAGGGGATGCAAACTGGCAAAATACCTGTTGCGTTTCAAAACGAAGGGGTTCAGAGACATCGCGGTCTGGTTTCTTAGAAGGCCGAATACCTTCACAGGGTCTACAAGCAGAGAGGCATGCCTAGAAGTTACAACTCACCGAGCTTGTTGGTGTTTAGCATTCCGCAAACAGCAGGCAGCAAGAGCTGGCAGGCCTCTGGAGCTTGAAACCTGCGACACACTGTTGGTGTGGTCTTGGCCCCGCCGTTCTAAGAGTCGGAACTGCCGTGCATTGGCACTCCTGCTCCTGCTATGGATTGGCGGTGCGTATCGCCTTCCCGCCACAGTCCCGTGTATTTCCACTCCCGAAATCGGGCTCCCGCCACAGTACCACGCATGATTTGGTTGTGACGTGTGCAGCAGTCTGTGCACATTTTCGGGCGCGACCCCTTTTTGCTGGCAGAGTGCAGTGCTCGCCACTGCTCCGCAGTTTGAACTCATTGGGTGGTGTGGGTGGTGTGGCCTCAAAAATACTTTTGGAAGGCTGTGGGGTCTGCAGGGCTTGGGCTGCAAAGGTGATCTTTGACTGTTTCAGGTCTACGCCAACGCTCGCGTAATTTTCTTTGTTTATCACAGTTCTTTTTGTTGCTGCAGCCTTCGTTCGCGAAGCTCGATTGAGATGCGAGTGGCAAAATCCATTGTCTGCTTGTTGAGGTGCGCTTGATGCGCGAAGATCCCAGCATGGAGGTTCGGAAGATGGCAGAGCAGGCACCCGATGGCAAGAATGGCGTCACTCATGTCATGTTTGTTTATCGGGCTCAGGGCAAGTATAGTGTCACTAGTGTTGGAAGTGTTCCTGTGATAGCGCACTGTGCTTGAGTAGCTGTATTACTACAGCAGCCAAAAAATAATTAAACAGGGCTCAGGCGTGGCATGGCATAGTAAAGGGCATGAGAGACCTACAGACGCAGGCGAAACCTACGCTTGCATGACGGGGATTGAGAACCCTCCGAAAAAAAAAGCATGCAGTACAGGCCTGAGCTTAGGCGACTGTTCAAGGACCTGACGGCATGCATGCCCCAGTCACAAACGCCCAAATTGGCTCAACAGTGGCTGAACAAATGGGTTTGGGGTCGTAATTGTTGTGATTGAAGCCATTTCTGACGCATCTGCCTCGTTGGAAGACTGGGTATCAAGAGCCCGCAACCTTTCAGAACCAGCAGTCCCCGGCAAAACCCTCGAGGTGCTGGACATGAAGGACTGGAAAGTCCCTCACTGGATGGAAGTCCAGAAGCCTGCCTGGCGCGTGCAGGGCCCAGACGTGTTTGAAGAGGCTTGTGCTGGCTGATAGTTGGAACGCTCTCACCCTTTAGGGGCAAGTGTTGCAAACCATAACGGACGACTGCCAGCGAGTGGGTAGTCGTCGTCCAGTGTTAAGTGCTACCCAGACTTGTATTTAGCCTTGCCTGCCTTGTGCAAGTTGTGAGAGTAGAACAGAGTGGAAAGCCACCAGACCCCTGGACTGAACCGAGGAGCGCGTCAAGCGAGCCATCGCCAACCGCGGCAGGGGAACCCGCAAGGGCAAGAATAGTGAGGGCACGCTTCACAAGCGCTACTGGGAGAAGCTGCCCCGATGAAGTAAAACCTATCCCTCTAGTTCCTGATCTCTTGACCCCGGATTCCTAGAATCCTAGAACTGTAGAAGCCGAACTCTACACATAGACCCATGTTCAGCACGTCTCCCGGGCTAGCTTACCCCTCCGGTTTCCACGGGCTCAAGGATCCAAGTTCAAGGCGTGTTCGGTGCTTGGACTCCATGGAGCAGATTCCGGCAGAGTTTGTTGATTTTTTTGGCAGGTCTTCGGGACAATCACAGGTCACTGGTCCTTGGGCATAGTCCAGATGCCAACAAGATGTGAGCACGTCGGGCGGAAAAGGGAGGCAGCATGAAGTCGCCGTGAGTTGCCGGTGGCCATGCATAAGGCTGGAGTTCTCATGCTTCCTGCCTGATGGACACATTGACATGAGTTGGAGTTGCCGAGCGTCAAGCTCAAACAGCTGATCATGCTCCGTCAATGGCACGTGTTGGTGCAACTGAGAAGCGCATGTGCTCAAGTCAAAAATGAATGCATGCCGCAGCGAAGAAGTGGGCCAAAGCCGGAGAATTTCCGTAAACGGGTGGCTGGCCGTAGAGTGTAGGACTTGCTAGGGATGCATGCCCGCAACGAGACTCCGTGCCTCGACATGGCTTTATGTTTGGAGGTAGATCTGGATAGCAGCAGCGGTTCTTCCATGAAGGAAAGGTTCTTATTTGTTACCTAGATGGTGCATCTGCGGGATGTACTTGTCATCTCTTCAGTCTTATCATGTGCACAAGTGTGAGTTTATCAGACTGCTCCGCTCTACCATCTTCCACTGTTACGCTGTCTCTCGTGTTCTGGCTTTCCATGCTGCTTTCTGTGCATTGTTCACACGAAGCCGTTATTTGCAACACTGTGTTCGTTCGGCCTGCCTCTGCAGGACAAGGCGACGAGGACTTACTTACGTGAACCTAAGAAGAAGTCAGAAGCTTCAGCCGGCACTTGGGATTCATGTGGGCCTACGTACTCCGGACCGAGGTTCTGACATGAGCACTACAGACGACTCTGCATTTAAAAAGCACCGTGCAGCATCGAAGGGTGCTTGGCAGAACAAAACGGTCACAGCGCCTGCTCAGAAACACTTGTGACAACCATCATTTAATCATTATTCTATTCCACCTGGGGAGTACTCTTACCGTTCTTTGCCGAAATACGTTGCAGGCCCCCTCGTCGCTGCCCCACCTCCGGGGACGAGTGGACCAGATCTCCCGTGTCGAAGAAGGCGAAGGCAGGGATGCCAAGAGTGTTGCTTCAGGAGAGAGTGTGCGGGCGGCCGCGCATTGACCCGGAATGATCGAGAGCCCGACTTGATTACTTCCTGAGTAGCAGTAGCAGCAGGTGGTGGTGGTGGTGGTGGTGGTGGTGGTGGTGCTGATGCTGGTAGCATCGGCAGTAGTAGTAGTATTAGTGGTGGTGGTAGTAGTAGTAGTAGTGGTGGTGGTGGTAGTAGTAGTAGTAGTGCTGCTAGTAACAAAGGATAGGTCCGGACCGCTGAGGAGGATGAGCTGATCACGTCTCCAATTGGCCATGGAACTCTCGGCTTTACTTGTTTTCAGCTGTGGTTACATGTTGTGGTGTCGCTCGCTGGAGTGTCCGAGTGTGAGCGCAAACCAAACAGGTTGGGTTTGGGTGTGCAGTTATGGACAATACAAAATACAATTTCAAAAATCGCTCTATACCTTTTCATCCGTTTTCGACAATGTGGGCCGTTGTGCATCCCAGGAAAGGCTTTGTGGACGCCTGCACAGGATTCCTGCATCTTGGCATAAGCCCGCCTGTTTCCGATCTGTCTGCTTTCGACATTCCCAATGACCTCAAATCCTAAACGAAACATCTGTGTCTCGCCTGGGTTGTCCGAGCGTAAGCGCCGAAACTAAAAGCACTGATGGTAGGTAGTCCTCCACTAGGTTTACCGTACCAAGAGGACTTCTGTCATTGAACACACGTGCCTCGCCTAAACTGTCCAAAGTTGTGAGGGCCGAGATATCGCTCCGAGGCATTTCCTCGCAATCGTCTCCTTCCACACGTGCCTCCTCTTTGCTGCTCTCGCCAGCCTCGCAGCAGCGCAGTGCCGGCAAGGCCTGTCCTACGAATTGCAGCTGTTGGGCATTTTTGGGCTTCGGCCTTGCAGCTCTGGGTGGGTTTAGGGCTTGCCTACGGCTCATGATTCTGCAGTGCACGGTCCCTCCTCTCAAGAGTGTTTTGGAAAGTGATGCTTCTGACCTTAGAGACAGTACAAGTTACCTATTCAGGGAGTGGGCCGGAATCTGTCCTAAAGGCTAAAGGCTGGACATGATTCTAAGCCTGCTCTCTCATTGTTCCATGTGGCTTCAGAGCTTTATGTTCTAATGTGGTTTCATAATTCCTGCGAGATGATTCTTTGGAATCCACCTAAACCGTTAATTATCACCACAAAAGCACATGAAACCGCATCAGCTCTGGAACATTATCCGGGGAATTTTAGAATGACGGAGTCTCACAGTCGAGTCATCGTGTTGAACAGGAGAACCGTGCGCCGCGGATCTCTGGCACGCCAAGCCGTCTGCCCACAGTGCAGGACATTCCACGATTCAGGGTTAAGGTTTTGCAGGCCCTTCCATCAGTCGCATGAGGCAGCCCTGGAACGAGAAGAAAGAAAGGACTTAGTAAGAGCCGCATCGTTTGCCACAGACGACTCGCCTTCAGAAACAGGAAGGTTGGCCCACTTATTTCAGTCCCGAAAGGGAGTGTTTGCAGAGAATAGATCCCAAATAGAACGGCTGGTGAGCCGTAGTGCTTTTGGGATTTTGCTTGTTGCCAAAGGGCAATTTATGCAGGGTGTTGGAGTTCGTACCAGAATGCAAAGGAATGATTGGGACTCGCTATTTGGAATGCTACCGGCTCGGCAGGGCGTGTAAGGCTTGTGGCTTTGGGCCAAAAGCTCAGACAGCAAGAATGAACTTCAATCCCATGTTGAAGGTAAGCCAAGGGCCGAGAGCTCGGCAGCCCCCGCATCGGCGAGTGTTCCATACTCTGCCCCAAACCTTGCAAGGAGAATGATGGGATGCCAGTTCCGGAGGAGGTGGGCCGATTGATCATTTTTAGATGCCGTAGCTTGTCTGAGCCGCAGTATACCACGTCCAAAGCATCGGATGGCACACGCATAGTGCCAGCAGGGCTGTAAGAATTGTCTACTCCAGATGTCGTGCGATGCTCTCGCTGGGCTAAGGAAACGTTTGCACCAAGCACATTCATTCTATGGGCTAGCAAGAAATCTGATCGAGAAGCATCGGTCATTGGTTGCTGAGACATCGCTGGTAAACATTGTTCGTGGGATGACAAATACCGTGGTTTGTATAAATATGTATGTATATATGTGTATAAACAGAAATTTGTATGTGTATATAGCTGTGCGCACACACATATGTGTATGTGTGTACTTTTTATTGGTTTATTTATCGGTGTGTTTATTTGGGGGATGGGGCCTGTTAAGCATGTACATGTACGTATGTGAAGCCGTACGTGTGTGTGTGTGTGTGTGTGTGTGTCGGTCTGTTTGTCTGTCTGTCTGTCTGTCTGTCTGTCTGTCTGACTTAGCTTGTCTTTATTGTTTTTGTTTGTTCATTTACCACCCCATCTCTCAACCTGTCGTGCTGTCTTGTCTCGCTGTCCCTCGATGTTGCTCTCTGCCGACCTACTTATCTACCTATCCTATCCGTGTATATACCTATCCATCTATCTATTCATCATCTCATCCGTTTATCTGCCTGTTTATCTCCCAATCTATCTGTTTATCTATCTCTACCTCGATCTCTCCATCTCTTCATTTAGCTGTCTACCTATTCGTCAGTGACCAGCATTGCCCGTATTTTGTAACTGTACCGACCAGCGAATCTAGTGGTAGACGTATGCACAAGACGCGCATATGAATATGGATATTATGCATACACACACTTATGTACATGTACGTACATACTTATGTGTACACGACATAGATACATCCACACGAGCATGCTTGAGTGTGGATATACACATTCAAGCCCACAATGTACCCTCCGTAGATTATCTTCGGGTGCACTCCGCCGCTACATCAAGTTTCATTACATGGTCTGATATAGTTTAGCTGTTGAAGGATATCTGGAGACTGTTTCAGGTGCCTTTGGTGGCCGCGCCGCTATCGCCAGTCAACAGGCATTTGTTTTCAATCTGCTGTCGCCATGTGTGTTCCAAGTGAACGGGGTCTGCTTTCGAGCAAACTCCATGTCTAGAAAGGGTTCTAAATTGAAAGCCCCGCACGTATTTGCTCCATTACGAAAGTCGAAAGCAGATCAACTAGTGTCGACATTAGATGCTCAGGTTGGGAACAGGAGCCAAGGAGCCACATCCAAGGTTTATTCGTCTGTAATTTAATCCGGTGCAGTCCACCGGACTCCTTCATGCCTCCCCAATTCTAGCAGTGACTCTGGCACTCCAGTTGGTCAAACTTCATCTCGGGACTTGGAGCCCTTGTGGAGACTCTAGACCACATGTCCTTCATCAAGACCTCATGCAGCTTCGATACCTTTATTCACAACCTGCCAACAAATCCCGAGGAAAGAACAAAGAGCAAGGGTATACCTGGATCAGTTGCCAGATGCCTCCTGCAAAACATTCGTTTTCTCCAGTTTTCTTCTACAACACCTCGTGGTCATCTCTACAGACAGCCTGATGGTTTCATCCCTGGCCCTAATTAGTGTGTAGTGCAATGGTTGTTTGAAGACTGCTTACATACTTTCGCATGCTACTTGCAGCAATAGTCAGCAGAACAAGTAGCAGGAGGTAGCAGTGTAGCGGAATTGTAGGAGTAACACTAGGAACGGCAAGAAGCACATGTAAGGGGCAACAGTAAAGACAGAATTCTTACGAACTCGCATTGTAATACCAGGATCAATCGCAAGACGATGACTAATACACGGGCCTTAACCACTACTTATACTATTTTGGGGTGTCATAATTATAGTATACTGGGGCCCAAACCCTATTCTAAATATGAAGGCCCCCATACTAATCGCATTGACAAGCAGCGCCTGGAGGCCCATACCAGGGCTGGACTTGGTGACTGCAGATCCGCCTGTGAAGTACCTCGGCCTGTCTTCAGGGCCTGCTGAGGAGTTTTGGGTTCCTAGGGTCTAGGGCCTTGAGAGTTTAAGGTTCAGGCGCTCGAGAGTTTAGGATATTTTAGGATTGAGAGCTTAGGATTTAGGCAACACCACAGGGTCCTGCTTCATGCTGCCTCGCTGGAACTCTCTTCGTTTGTATGCTGTGTATATCATGACGACGGCTTGTTTGGGCATAGTATTGATCTTGGGCGAAGACCTCCCGGTTTTGGGGTTTATGCTGTTGCAAAGCTGGGTTCAGTAGGCGTGGAACGGGTGCAAGGCGCTAGCTAATTACCAGCTACCCTGCAGCGGATGCCGTGTGGTTCAAAGGTTCACGTTCTGGTTAAAGGTAAGGTAGGTGAGGGATTCGCATCTTGTGTGGGTTGTGAGCTGCGTTGAGAAGGCTGTTTCCTTTCATGAACCCCTGGGCCTCAGCACTGGAGATCTGGAACCCATCCCACAACAATCCAACCCGCCGAAACCCCAAGCCTTAACTAGTACCCTGCAAAGCGGGCCTCGTCCATTCCAAGTAGGAAAAAACCCTCGAGACCTACCTCCGACGCTACAGGAACACCTTCATCCATATCGAATCTCCCAACAAGACGAGGGCTTTGAGGCGTGAACCCTGCATGCGCATCTTCTGATGTGTCCTGTAATGGATACATCTATATGAGGCTCTATAGCCGTAGCGAAGTGCTTGGTAACCGTCGTTCCACGACGTCATCATCGTTAAATGCTGCGAAGCTCCCTTATCAGAGATCGCAACTCCGTACCCCATGGAGAATATGTTTTCGTCAACCGCATCGCGACGCTATGTTTGGTCTCGTTGTAGTGTGCCTCGTGGTTGGTGCTCTTGGCCATATCTCTGTATTGATGGCAAGAAAAGTCTCTGAAGCAGACGCATTTTCACTTTCCCATATCATGATCGTGTTTGCCGGTAGCTGCACCTGGGGATGACTGCTGTCAGCGCCTTTCGCATTGTTTGTTGTCAACCTAGCTTGTAACACGATTCCCACTCCGATGTAGCTGATCGTATTTCTTGGTGACGAGCGTGAGACCTGAAGTCGTAGTATTCCACTTTGTTCCAAAAGACCACAGTTTTGAGAACATATTCTGACAAGTCTCTTTGCGAAGCATTAGACGAGGCTCATGTTGCAGGGCCTCACAAGGGCACCTGAACTCGTAAATGATCTGTACGGGCGGAAACAATGACGCAGCCAACGAGGCTTCGAAGGGGGGCACAACGGATGAGCCATTTCGATGTACTCGAACCGGTTCTGCTTTACTGCTAGGGCTAGGAATCGGCCATGTGTTTAAGCGGTTGAATCGGGGCATGGACCAGACAAGAAAAGGCAAATGACTTCTACCCAGGCACCCCAGCTCTGGATGCACCTTGCGGTAGGCTTTGACCCCAGCACAATTTCATTTGCAGAGCCCCTGTTCAAGCAGCAAGGTTTTGCAGGCACACAATTTGAACACCCGCGCACCTTGAAGCAGGCAGTGCCGCTCTTTCGGACTGAAACTGTCGTTCGTGTCTTGGGCCCTGTTGCACTTGAGAAGGTTCCCTCAAGGTAGCAGAACCAAATGCAAGAAGCAAAACCTGAAAGACCAATCCCTCAACCCATCAGCCGCCTGCTGGCATTTTCTGCAGATCCCCGCCGAAAACGGAGCCGCCGTCCTTCGCGCCCGAGTCGGGGGAGACTCAACACTTCCAAGGCAGTCCGCCTTCCTGACCATGCAAGCGCTCATGGGCAGTTCATTAAGGTATGCGGGGCATTGGGCATAGGGAAGGTCCGTTTTTGCTGGGCTCACCCGGAATTGCACCATTTCCACGAACTGCCTAATACTGCAGATACTCAGATAGCTCATAATAACTCTAAGCAGCTGCAGACGTAGTTCATGCTTCTGTGTACTTGTGGTTTTTTTTGTGAGTTTGATCCCAGATCCGAGCAATGGCATTGTTAGCCTTTGCCTCGACTTCCTAGAGGCATCAAGCAGCCAACTAAGGCGAAGAAAGGTACACCCCTGCCTTAGGAGGGGTTACATGGAGACTACTTACGGGTAATCTGTTGAAACATATCAACTTACAATGGTATGATGATATTCTTGTCGCGCTGAGCAGGTCGGAAGGTGGGTGCCATGATGCCACAACTTTCATGTAGCAGCTACCCTTGGAAGCACGCTACTTGTAGAGTCATTGTGGAGCACCTAAGACTTGCTTGGTTCAGAGATTCTGCAAGGCGTCCCTTTCCCACCCGCGGACCCGGCGTGCCTTTCCCTTGCGGGCTCCTTCGACGCCGTCGGCGACCAGGGATATGGATCCGTTTCCTGGTGGAGAGTTTGTCGCCTAGGTTCCCGGGTTTGGATGGAAGCTTTATGGCGCAAAATGCTCCTGCGAAGCTGGGTTGAGTGGATTTTGGTATCCTTTGCGGAATTCATTCAATTTCAACAGGATGATGGTGAGGTAGTACAGGCAGGACCTGGCCGTGTGGGGTGCCAACCGTCTTTGATCAGTATTTTGGTTTGCGATCGTGACTATTCAGGTTGCTCTTCCAGTCAACACATGCTTCTTGAAGCTTCGAACAGCAGTATGACTGCAGGGTGAATGGGTACATTGTAAACATGACCTAACCTAGAATCCCAACCGTTCCAAAGGAAGCCCTGGAACTTCCTGCGCCCAAACCTTTTACAGTCAATGTTTGCAGAGCTCAGGAGCGAGGACTGACCGTCCGGATTTCCGATTACCTGCCAGAGCTGCCCGAGGGTCCAAGGCAAAGCAAGGCCGGACTACCTTCGGTGTGTTTTTGTTCGCAGCATGCCGTCTTCTTTAGTGACTATCTTCGCCGGTGCCAGAAGCAGTAGCAGCACGTTGCCACGGGTTTCGGGAACAGCAAATTCAATCGCACCACCTGACACGCTTGACCAGCTCAATGCATTTTCAAGTGGTTGGCCGTTTTGGCCCCTGTTGAAATAGTGCATAACGCTATGACTTCGCGGGGCGGCGGGGTTGGGGGCTACTTGGGTCACTTGAACCGCTTGTGCCAGTTGTGCCAGTTGCCTGGATGTAGGGCTTAGGGTTGCTCAAGTGGGGTAAACTGCGGTGGCAGTATGTGGCGAGCTTCGACCGAGTGGGCAAGTCGCAAAAGTCAGCAAGCGGTTCCCGCAACCCGCACGTAAAACCGCAGTCGAACAGTCGCAGTCACACAGTGGCAGTAGCAGTAGCAGTAGCAGGAAGCGGAGGTGGAGGAGGAGTAGTTGCAGCTGTAGCTGCAGTTGCACTAGTGCCAGTAGCAGCAGTAGGAGCAGTAGGAGTACCAGTGGCAGCTGTAGGAGTAGGAGTCGGAGTAGTAGAGTAGCAGGAGAGTGGCGGCAGAGGTAGCAGAGCTAGTAGATCTAGTAGTGCTAGTAGTAGTAGAAGTAGTAGTAGTAGTAGTAGTAGTAGTAGTAGTAGTAGTAGTAGTAGTAGTAGTAGTAGTAGTAGTCGTAGTCGTAGTCGTAGTCGTAGTCGTAGTCGTAGTCGTAGTCGTCGTCGTGGGGGTGGTGGGAGTGCAGCTAATAGAGCTATAGTGCTAGTCGTGCTAGTAGTAGCAGTAGTAGTAGTGGTAGTAGTAGTGGTAGTAGTAGTAGTAGTAGTAGTAGTAGTAGTGGTAGTAGTAGTAGTAGTAGTAGTAGTAGTGTAGTCGTCGTCGTAGTGTCGTAGTCGTAGTCGTAGTCGTAGTCGTAGTCGTCGTAGTAGTAGTAGTAGCAGTAGTAGTAGCAGTGGTAGTAATAGTAATAATACTAATAGAAATAGTGGTAGTAGTCGTAGCAGCAGTAGTAGTAGAAGTAGTAGTAGTCGTCGTCGTCGTAGTACTCGTTGTAGTCGTAGTAGTCGTAGTAGTCGTGATTGTCGTAGTAGTCGTGGTAGTCGTGGTAGTGGTTGTGGTAGTTTTAGTGGTAGTAGTAGTTGCTGTTGCTGCTGCCGTAGAAGGGGGAGGAGGAGGTGGAGGCGGGAGGAGGAGGAAGACCTCTGCTGGCACTGCTGCAACTGGTACAGGCAGGTACTCTTGCTCCTGCCACCATCACCACCACGTCCACCACTACTACTGCTGATGCCGCCACTGCCAAGAAGATGTTGATGGTGGTGGCACAGGCGATGACGATTTGGACTGTAGTGGATTGTTATTGCTCCATCTTCCAGGCGGTGTTGCAGCCACCTTGGTGATCTAAGATCGGTGTCGTGCTAGAGAAGCTTGTCCTAAACTAAAGCTACAGTGACCGTCTTGCTCTTGTTAAACATGCTACAGGTGTTTCCCACCGATGCCTTTTCACACATTCATGATATGTTTCAGTGCCCAGGGTTTGCCCCTGCGGATTGCGGACTACATGCCCGCCGCTTGCCCCGAGCATGGCATTGGCTCTGACATGGAGGCCGGAAGTTTCATTTCAAGCAAAACCCAGGACGCTTAACCAGTTGGGTTTCCTGTGGCTTCGTGAGTCCAGGAATACAGGGCTGGGGCAGTTTCATTGTCGTGAAGTGGCGTGACAACTTTGGCACTTTCAGTGCAGCGTCTGGGCCTCCGTGTAGCTTATGACTTTCATAACCATGCATGCCGCAATGGCCTAAATGTGACTTGGCTCAGTCGTCCAGGTATGTCTCCTGCCGCCTTCACACTGAAGCTTCGCCAGGTGTCAGAGAGTAGATCGAGACCGACCAGACAGGTCTTACTGAAGTAGCCAATTCTCAGACAGATGCATGGCTTTGAGCCCTGCAACAATACACATGAACGCCACGCACATCTGGCCCGAGCAGGATTTTTTTTAGCCACCAAAGGCGCTTGCAGATGTATCAGTGGCACACCATTGGGGTTTTAGGAACGGACCAAATATAAAAGGAACAGAGACGAGCCGCCATTCAAACCGCCACGCAAAGCTACTGAAACCACTTCTGCTGCAGGGGATGCCAGGAATGGTCTATGGAGGCTTCGTGTCGGGCACGGAAAGGGACCAACAAGAGGGCATTCGCAATTGAGCCTGCTGTTTGGTGCCGTTTCACATTTGGAGGAGGCGTTGCTATTTCACGTTTCATGTCGCGGGTCGTGGTTGTGACAGGAATTCTAGTGGATTGTTCGCACTTCGGACTGTTTCTGCTGGTTTTGTTCTTCCTGGTTGGACTGAGTAAGACTTGGCACAAGCGAGGACTGGCTAAATCCTCTTCCATGTCACGAAACGGGTTTGGGCTTAGGAGCTCAAGTTCAATAACAGACGGGTGCCCAAACTGGAGCAGCGCGCAACATCCTCTAAGTCCCCTGTGGCTCGTCCGGGACATGCGACGCACACGTGTGAGATTACGATGTCTAGGAAGCACATGTTGAGTATGTTGAGTCTTGTTGCTTCCTTCTTTGCTCGTGGTTAGTTATGTCAGACTGACGCAGCTGACGTTGTTTGCCGACCAACTCCTTCCAATCACAACAAGCCAGCACGCACCTAAGCATGCCTTGGCACCAGGGCAGGACATGTACTGCTACCAGACGCCTTCGTATCAAACGGAGGCGGGAGGGACACGTCGAATTTCGGCTGCTGCTCGTGAAGCTTTCATTTAAAGTGTCGCCTGGTTGTGACAGACTAGTAGCTGCAGAGAGAATTTGCCGAACAGAGGTTGTATCCGACTAGATTGGTGTCTGAATCGTGACTTCGCATGTGGCCCGGTTTACTTCCAATCCTGATCCACAATCTGCAACAACTATTTCCACGGTGTTTCCTGAAAGCTGGTTAACCCACGAAGCCCTAGAGTGCTGAGGCCCCGCAACAGCTTCCCGCACAGATGCTCGCAGCGTTGCACTCGGCCCCGATGGAGCCTCGGTATCAAGATTGGAAGTTTCTCTCAAGCGGTTCACGGTAGGACCAGCACCACCCCGGCCCGTTTCTGGCTTCATACTATGCATCTTCTGTTGCTCCTGACACTACCACCACAGCCAACACTAACGATGATAGCAATCACTCAAACTGCTGCCGACGCTGTCACAGTAACTCCAGTGAGGCGGATACGGGTAGTGCGGAACAGCCACGACAGCAAATGCTGGCAATGCCACTAGGGCAGGAACACTTGAGAGGCAGGTGGTGGAGGTGGGCTGAGTGGACCAGCAAGCCCACAGAAGCAGAAGCAAGAACTGCAAGAGTCGTTGTAAGAGCCCTGGCAGTATGAATGTCAAGAACAACCGCCAGGGTTGGAAGTTCAACTGAGAGTTGAAATAGTACTACTCGCAGTACTGCTAGACTTGGTAAGCCAAGTTCTTCAGAAAAGAGCGGGAGGCTCTTCACCCTTGACTTTCGCTTGTATCGTTCTTGCAGGTTCTATCCCTTAGCCCTGAGCCGTGTCAGCCCTAAACTCTGTCGGAAGAGCAGCCTGCGAGACAGGAGCAGTTCATGGCCCAGCTACAGGTTGATCCCATGCAGGTGCAGTGACCTGGCTGAACTCCGTCACTAGCCGAAGATGTGTTGACGAGTCGCTGTGCTGGCAACGAAAGCCACAGAGCCGTTGAGTTGTTTTCGAATTTTCGGTTAGGAGTAGTTTCCAACAGGCCCGGCGCTGTTAACTTTAAGTTAATTGCTAACGGTAGGGCCGGGGTGCTTTGCGCTCTTGAGGCACTACGTCGCACAGATGCTGCAAATGCAAGGGCCATCTCCGCAATCGCCTCTTGGCATCTGTTAATGCACGGGCTTTTCCTTGAGTATCTTGTCTTGTGTCATTACGTAGCATGTCAGCAGAAGTCCAGCAGAGCAGATCGCTACAACCTCTACACTCCCCGTGTTTGTTCGCATGGACATGCGTATGCAATGGCGGGGTATAACCAAGTCACCGACACCACTCACGAAGATGCGGATCGAAGCTTCCTCGCGGCTGCTGTCGTGCCTCGACCCAGGCACGGCGACACGATGCCGGCGCAGCAGCATGACGACTGTATGTGGCCGCGGTCCATGCATCCCGGTTCCGGCCCATCGATGGGGCCAATGGGCGGTGGCTTCTAAACTCGAGAAAGCACCAGATGTCCAAACCCCAGCCCATGCAAAAGTGAGTAGAGTTGCAGTCTCGTCGTGGCACACGCTCCAGACGCAAGAGCTGTTCTCATGAGCTTGGGGCCATGGAAAGCCAAAAAGAGGTTTTCATCGCAAGACCCTGAGTTCTGGCCTGGCACAGAAGAACCTGTCTTGTAACTGCAGCTAAATCTCTTCGTCTACCGGATTTGACATGCGCGCAAATTTCTCCGGTCGTGTCCTTCGTGTCAGGGTGCAGGGTAGTAGGATACTACGTAATCGTGCTGAGCTGGCGGCTGGCTGGCCAAAGGTAGGCAGAGTGGCACAATCATCCCGAAATGGCCCGAGCGTTCCGCGATATGACAGGGGAGCATTGCTCACTGTTTGCTATAGAAGCCCAGGCAAGATAACATCATCATACTGTATGGATGTGTTTTTTTTGCTTGGGCGCGATTGTCATGTGGAACGGAGGCGTGTTGCCCCAGGCTTGGGTGCCACATACAACCTCCAAGAATCTTCTCAGCTGCAGACGCGTCGGCTGCCTTCGTACCTTTGGGCAACGTTCAACCTTTGAAGGCTGAAGCATCATATGACCAATACCAATTGCCAATACGTCCCAGCTTGCATTTGGACCACAGTGCTGGATCCTTGGAGGTTTTAGGTAGATAGGTCGAGTGAACTGACTGACTTGGATGCAAAGCATCCGCCGTGTTTCCGTAGGGTTTGCCAAACCCACAAGGATGGGGTTGTGGGTTTGGAGCTGTGATGAAGAGCAACATATATCAGCTTTCCGCGGTGAAGAGAGCTAGGGGCTTTTGTCGTTAGGCGTAGGTCGCAGGCGCGCAGCCTGATTTCAATCGCGTGTGATTGCACATCGCAGGCTTCAGTCGGCGGTAAATTCGAAATTTGGCATGGTTCAGATGCGAACTGCCAGATGCAAGTTCTGACAGAAACGCGGGAACAGAAAAGCGTGCAAGCCTGTCTCGCGTGCCAGAGCTGTGTCTGCGAAGGTCTCTGAACCGGCTCGACCAAGACAAAGGCCCTTCTCGATACACAAACACCTGCAAGAGGCAGTCTTCGTGCACAAGCTCGAGCTTTTCGTGGGCAGTTTTAATAGCTCAAGCCAGGGTAAGGTAGGGCATGAGACGTCGAAGGCACAATCGAAGATCGAAGGGGCTGTTTGGGCGTGCAACGAGTCGATTTTGAACTTCCAGGGTCGACGATTCGAGGACCGCCTCGAGCAAGTCAGCCAACCACCAAAAATTCCCAGAGCAAAGTCGTGAAATTAAGCTGCTAGCCAGCCACCAGCTGAGTGAACATCTCTGGCCCCCAAGCATTCCACACATTCCTTGAACACCGGCCCGAGAGACCTGCATCCGTATGGATATTGGTTTGGAAACTGGGGCATGTGATCATAAGTGTCGTAGCCCTGCTATAACTTTGCAATATGACTCCCATGGACGACGATATGGATGATGCCGCAGACCCGGTCTCGAACTGGCTTCATGTCAACTTTGCAGCGTAAGTTTTGCAATCCGAAACACTTAACCCAGCAGGAATGCAGGTGTGCGAATATCTAGTAGTTAGTAAAGTGTGTATACAAGGCGGGGCACCCTGACGCACATCTTCTGGGTGGGTTTCGAAAATATCCAAAGCATGCGAAGGCAGAAATTATTTCGGCTCTTGCAGTAGCCCGACTAACTGATAGCGTGAAGCCTGCGCTCGAAGCAAGAGCCTTCACCCAACTTAGACATCCCCTGCATTTCAAGCGCTTCAAGGGCACACCCTGAACCCAAAACCCTGCCCTGAGAACTCCTGTACTGTCGTTGCTACGGTCGACAAGTTCTTAAGCCTTAAGTCTGAATTAGTTTTGTTGCTACTATCAGTATCACTCCTCTTCTTCTTGTTATTGTGCCCCTGCATCCTACACCCTGCCTGCCTTTGCGTTGGGCTCATCCGAGGCATGCTTGCCGAGCTCATTGGTCGGCCTCCCCAGAGGGTTCCGGTTTGACGGTGCAGGTTTGCTTTTTTGAGGTTGCGGGCATAATTATGCAGTCTAGGATATGGTTGTCTCAGATCTCGGTCAGCGACGTGTTTGGGCTGGTAGAGTTTAGAGTGCCAGGGGCTTTGTTCCGACTTTACCCTTCTCGGCATAGTCCGATTCTGAGGCTACTTGGCAGATTGTAACCGCAACCGCCGGCATGAGGTTTAGGAAGTAGCTTGAGGATACTTCGGGCTTACGAGATTTCACAAGAAGAACAACTTGGTTTGTGCAGCCTTCATTTTTGTGGGCCAACTCTAGAAAAGGTTGTCTTGAGCACACTCGTACAAGTTTAACCGAAGCCCCGAAACAACAACAATAATCCTAAGAAGAAGAAGAAGACTAGTACTTGAGAACGGCCATTGGCATGAAGCATAGACGCGCTAGCAGCCGCAAAGCTCCAAGCAAAGGCGAAAGTCTTGTGGATGAACCTGGACAGGCGGACGGATCGCGTCCGGACCCTAGCCCTTGAAATTCTAAGGCAAGGGATCGAGCCGCAGCATGAGGATAAAAGAGGCTTCATTTATGTTTGAAGCACGGCGATGTTACGATGTTTCCACGCAGCCCTCAGCAGAGAAGCTCAACAAACCCATAGGCTCCATTGTAGGTCCGTTTTAGGATTACCTTATAGGATCCTATACACAGAAAGGAACTACAATGGAGCCTTTTGGAAGAGTGTAGACTAAGTAGACCGAATTTCAGAACCGAAGCGAAGTTACGTAAGTTATTCGGAGAGGGCCCTGAGAAGGCAGAAGAGCCTGGGAACTGGGATGGGGAGACTGGGTTCTTGCAGAGGGGTTTAATTTAAGTTACCATAATAAAGACACCATCTCATTCACTATAGACCCCCATCAGTAACTACCAGTAACTTATATAGTCTAAATTTAAATTCCTTAACAAGAACCCAGGAGACCTTCTCCTTGTCACCAGGCCGAGGCCCAGCAACAGTCGCTTGAGGCTGCCGGCATCGAGGCACCGGGAGCTTGATCGTGGGTTGGGGGCTTTGTCGTTCAGGCAGTTTGAACGGCCCTGGATGCAAAAGGGGGTCTAGATGGTTGGATTTGCATAACTGCAAAAAATCATCAAATTGAGCAGGGATGGGGTTCAATTGGATTCCTGCAGCTGTGAAGTGCGATTCTTTCTCGACACACAAGTTGCACGTTTTACATGTCTCGGCGTTAATGCGGTTTGACTTTGGGAAAATGTCAAATCATGTCCAGGTGCCCTGCCCCTTTGAATTGAACTCTTGAAGTCTCTAAGCCGCCAAGCCTCCTCCGAGAAGGCCCAAGAGCTTCCGAGAACTCCAAACCGCTGACCTTCCCCTCCTCTCTCTAAAACTAGCATGGAACCACAAGAAGCCCGCTTTTCGAAGCCAAAAATGGTCTACAGTGGGACCCGTTTCACATTCCATGTTCGTTAAGGGTGGACCTTTGCAACACAGCTCCATACCGAAAAGCTTATACATGTCCTTCGTGAAGGGACCTAGAACAGTCCAAGATACAGCGCTCATCCGGAGGACTTCGCTGAGCGTGTGCCGGCTGTGGATGGCAGCACGTTGGATTGGCGCTCTGTTCCCGAGGAGCACGGACAGGGGTTGTCAGGGGGCTGTTGGGTTTGTGAATGTTTGTATCTACCTTAAACCTGACATCTGACGGTTTTGCTGACTGTGGGCGCTCTGAAGAGGTCGCGTAGCTGCTAGCTGCCGCCAGGTTGTCCGTTGTGAGTCGGAACTGCTTCAAGTTATTTGGACTTTTCATTTGCCTCGGAGGCAAAGGCAAACAGCAAGACACAGGCTAGACCCGGAACAACCCCTGCCCGACCCTGCCTGGCGAACATCGTTATGATCATCAGCCCCGTCGTGGAGTGTGACACTCGTAGATTCAAAGCTCGTGAACTGTGAGGTAGGAGGCTAGCAGAGTATTAGATGGAACTCGGCAAGCATGGTTGGGCCTAGCATAGTGTGAAGGAGTAGACAGCTTTTGATGGCTTCTGGTCGCAGGATATCTTGACACGTGCTGGTCGAGTTCAGGCCACCGAAATTCCCAGCAGTGATGGATATCAGCACCAAGGGCAGAGGCATCCAAAGCATCTTTTCGAGGCTCTGCTGTAGGGCCCTGCGAGCTCCTAGCAGGCGTGTCATTTCCTGAACCAGGGCAGCTCTCTGTCACGAAAGCTAGCTCTGTGGAGCTTGCGGGAGTTGTCGTTCACAAATTTCTTCCTAAGTAGTTCCATGGGTGCAACGAAGGTTTGTGGCCTTAAAAGGCTTCTTTCCAAAGGATTTCGGGGGGGGGGGGGGGGGGGGGGGGGGGGGGGGGGGCCACCCCCTCCCCCCTTCCTCGTTTGCTTGATTTAAGGGCCCCCGCCCCCCCAAGCAGGACCCCGCCCCTTGAAGGCCATGCTTGCAAGCATAGCTTCGTAGAGTTTGGAGTTGTTACCACTTATCGCAAGCCTCCACCGTCCTGCTTCTGGCTTTCGTAGCCCTGCTCTCAAGTCTCCGTTTTCCAAGACTGAGTCTAGCATGCTTAGGATTTTTGATGCGAGCCCCGGCTAGGTCCATGTTGGAGCCCCCATCTCCATGATTTAAAATTCCAGGGGTTGCAGCCCCCTATACCCCAAACCCTGAGGATGAAAACCTAAACCATTCGCTCCACGACCTCTACCCCCGGTGAAGCATCCGAAGTGGCAGGCGATGAACCCGCCGGACTTCGTCCTGGGAAGAGTTCTGTCGCAGGGCTGCACTCCCACTCTAGACCTCCGAGTTTCTAACTCCGGTGATCCGATGCAGTAGTCATGTTACTGTAGTCGTCGTGACGGTTGTGGTCCTGGCATACTGGGCAGCTCAGGACCCCTGGAGCCGGGGCCTTGACGCGATGGGCACATGGATTTCAGCTCTGTCCAGAGCACTCGTCATCTTGGTCGTTCGAGTAACGACTAGGTAACATAATCATCTTTACCGGACTTTGTGTTCCATCATACCTGGAACTTAAAGTACATACAATGCCTAGAAGTGCAGAATTCCGAAAAGTTGCTGAGCTTTGCCAAGCTGTGCAACTTGCCTTTCACGGATTGTGTGCTCCTGCGTTTGCGGATGTGGCTGAAGGCAGGGCGCCGGATTCCGGGGAGGAGTTCAGGGCTGATTTGCTCAGAGTTCCGCCCTCTGTTCGAGACCCCATTCATGGTCTTACCCAAACTCCATTCTTACGGTGTTAGAGGGAGCTCCCTCCCGTATCCGCCTGAGCTCCTAACGATCGCAAATTTCGACCGTTCCTGCATGTTTGAAGCTCTGCGCTCTGCAGACTTTCACGAGGCCGTGGGCCTCTGGCTGACGTGGTATGAGGCCTGGCTTTGGAATGTGATCTTAGGGTCTCGAATTGAGTGTTTAGAGTACACTTGAAGCTTGGCGACCGTGCTCTTGGGCGCGGGGAACCGAAGGCCCCAACAATGAATTCCAGCCAGTGTCGGATACTGTCCGAGGTCGCAGGCAATTGAGATTCCATCCCTACAGAAGTTCACCCAAACGCGGTCAAGCTAGACCTTCGCTTATCTTCGAGCATGGCAGGTCTTGTGCCGCATCATCCACGAAGCCGCAGGCCACGAGTGCTACCTGGTTGCCCGGACCCCGGATCGGTTTGGAGGTGAGTGCGGCTGAAGCTATGGAAGTGTAGCTCTTTCGTCCGCTGGTCATTGAAGTGGATGGGACTGGGATCCTTCAAGTCACAATAAGTGCCGAGGATAACCTCGGACCTGGATAGAGCAAACCGCACTTTGCCTTCGAGCACCTGTATGTTTGCATGCATGTTTGCATGCATGTATGTATGTATGCATGTACATATGTATGTGGGTACTCGTTCGTATGTTCTCACGAGAGGCATGTACCTTGGATTTAGCATGTCGTCGTAGCAAATGGTAGCTAACAAAGTTGCTGTCATGTACTTGTACTTGTGCATGCGCGGATACATCTCCCTCTTTTGCGCTCTCTCCCTCTCTCTCTCTCTATATCTATCTCTCTCTCTCTCTCTCTCTCTACTTCACTCTTTGCATTAGCACTTAGGCCTAGACACATTTATTGATTTACACAGTTGCTTTTCTAGTAGCTTTTTACTGTTTTCATTACACGCCAGTGTACACCGGAGGTCGAAGATGATGCGGAGTATGCGGAGGGCTTCGGGCCTTCCATCTTCAGGCTGTGCAAGTGCTCACAGGTTCCTGAATCGGCAATCGCATCCCTAAGTAGTGGCCTTAGTTCTGCAGAGCTGGGAGTTCAAGGCCACGGCTCCAATACCCAGGACTCAGGGAACCATTGTAACATACCGCCTTCAGAACAGGAGCATCGTACATTGTAGATCCCTGTCCATTTTCTCCGGATTCAGGTTCTCTGCTTCGGGACTAGATTCTAGATCTGCCTCGTATGCAGGGGGGCTTCCGAGCTCAAGCTTTCTGCCTGATGAAGTGCCTAAACCCTGAAGTTCCCTGAAGCCTAAAACTTTACACTCCGCACAATCCCAGTTCGCCAGCTCAGACCCCTGGAGGCTTTTAGATGGTCTTGATCGCTACGATCCTGACTGGCATGCTTGTGCCGTGGATGCCCTACACTACAGCTAATTGGGTGCTTCCGCGGGCTCTGTAATGTGACCGCAAAATTAAGACATGGAATTGTATGTATGTATGTATGTGTGTATGTATGTATGTATGTATGCATGTATGTATGCATGTACGTATGCATGTATGTATGCATGTATGCATGCATATTTTTAATTTATATATATATATATATATATATATATATATTTATTTATTTATTTATACAGAGAAAGAGAGAGAGAGAGAGAGAGAGAGAGAGAGAGAGAGAGAGAGAGAGAGAGATTCATTCACGCCCTACCGAAAGCCCCGTAACAAACCGGGGGCCCACGAGGCCGGGGGGCCTGACAAGCCCCTTAAGCCCTGCAGAAGAAGAGAGATTCACACATACATGTTGGATACTGGCTTAGTGGTGGCGATAAGTGCACGTACCCAGGCATTAGATATACATACTTGTAACATGCAGTTTGGAGTTAGCGATAGAGAGGAAGAGAGAGGGAAAGGCAGCGTGATAGAGAGAAAGAGCGGTTTGTGGGGCCGTAGCATGAAGCGCAGCGGGATGATGGCAACAGTGTTGGAAAAGATTGTACGGGAAGTTGACGAGGCGGATTGGGAAATTACTGTCCTCGCAACTCCGCGACTCCGCAGAGTAGCACAGAGTTGTGAAAATCATTGCGCGGCGACGGGCGGGGAGATCGGGGCGGAGGCGGCGGGGGCGTGCACGCCTTGATGGGCGGATGAAGGTGATCGTTGGAGTTGACAGTGACACGCCCTATATGCAAACCCCAGTTAAGGGGCCTAATTTTCAGCTTGCGGTGTGGATGATCTTCCGGCCGGGTTTGGGCACATGTGGAAGCCTGTTTTCAAATGGTATACAACCTCTGACTCTGCTGGCAGTCTTCCCTGAAGTGCTGCGGAGCAGATCTAGGCATGTTGCACATGAGCCCCGAAAGCCTGGTGTTATGTTCGCAGCTTTGATGCTTCTGGTGTTGTGTTATGTAAGGCATAGGGTTATTTGGAAGTACCTGCTTTCTATTGTTGAATGTGCGGACCGAGCAAGGTCAGTTCGTACAGCCTTGCCTCCTGGTGCGGGTATGAGAGCCAAATTTTCAAGCATAAACTCTTCCTCCGTTCTGCGAGGTCGGCTTCATACGGTCGAAGTCGCGGATGCACAGCCTAGAATGGGCCTGCGGCTCGGGGCCGGTAGCTTGTGGATGACGGTTTTAGGAAGTCTTCGTTTTATTCCCCGAAGAAGCATCAGCGGGTTTTAGGTTTCGGACTGGAGGCTTCGTTACTCGGAAGAGTGTCATAAGTATGCCACGTATGGTGCACTGGCAAGGCTCCCACATCAGGACGTGTGTTACGGTCTTGCAAAGCCACTGGAGCGACTTCCTCGCTGAAGCCGAGGTGTGAAGCTGCGGTTTGCCTTCTTTTGTCGATGCTTAATAAGACTGTCATGTCATGGAGGATCTCCAGGATATGGCTTGATCTATGCAGCTCCTAATCTTTTGGGGGTAAAGTACTGTGAATCACGCCGGAATGGATCTTCAGACCAAGACTTCAGGAGAACCTCAAGGGCAGGCCCAGGACCCCATCCCCAGGCTATGAGATGCAGCGGAAGGGTTTTGGCAGGACAGTCAATGTTCGGAGCCCCTCTGAATTACTTGAACCTAACAGGCGAAGGCGGTAAATCCCCACACTATGAAGCAAGTTCGAAGGACCTGAAGAGGAGCAGAATCTTTATAAGCCGAACCCAACCCCAAGCATCGTGGACCAGACTACAAATCTTGTGTCCATCCTCAAGTATCCAAAACGCGAGAGCATCGACTTCCCTGGTCGGCCCAGGGCCCCCAGATTCCGAAGGAGGCGCTTGAGTTGGCTAGGTGCCCAAGAGCTCGGAGTCAGAGGGCGTCAGGGTTGGGTAAAGGGGCTCATAACTGCCAGTGTACCGATGGTCTAGTATGGCATATGGTATGCTGTGGTATACCAAGTATATGACTATATCATTGAGTACGAAAGCAATCCCAGTATATTCCAGTACAGCATCGTAGGGTATAGTTTTTACCCGAAAATCAACAAAGGGGGCAGTGTCTTCGCTTCAAATTATGAGGGGTTTCAGGTAGAAGTCTGGCTGCAGCATGAGGTGCATCAGCCAGACTGTCGACTGGCCTCACTAGACAAACAAATAGTTGCCTAAGTAGGTAGATAGGTATCCGGTTCGGTAGGTAGCAGATATGATAATGTAGATGTAGCGCAGTAACTTTCAATGCTACGGATTCAACCGAGCACGAAGCAACCAACCTGTGAATGCTCATGCCACATCAGCCAGTTTGGCTCCAGGCAGTGTTAGGGGTCTGCCGACCGACGGAATCCACGATGACAATCCGATCTGCCGTTGTCCAAGAAGGCCGACATGACGCCAGCGAAAGCCTTCCGAATCCCTGCGCAAGTGCTGACACAGTGAGGCGGGTGCGCTTCCAGGAGCCTCACATCATAGAAGTTGACAGCTGGAAGGACGCTACACGCTTCATGCAGTACAAAGGCAAGCAGAAAATCGATGAGGAGGAGTTCATGCTTGGTGCTCTATCTTCCCTGCCTCATCGTGTCGCATTGATGGCAGCCTTGACACCCATGGTTCTTCGTTTCGCGATCGGGATCGTGGATACTGTGATGTGAATTGAGGGTTGCTGCGCAAGCATTGGCTGCCGAGTGTTTGACTCGTTGTTCCAGCAGTCTGTGTTTTAATTGACAGCTTCGATCGTGCTGAGCCGGCATGTTGGGACTGTCCATGTACACTTGCTGCGTTTATTATCTTTTCCCTGTCTGATCCTGATTGAGAGATGCTGGGTCTCCGAGAGACATTGCCAGCAGACATCCTTCGGGGCTCGGACAGCGCAGCTGTTGTCTTGCAATTGCCGCGATTCTTACTCACTGTTTCAAAAGATCTTCGTCAGTCTTGCTTTCCATGATTTGCAAAGCTAAACGACGGATTTTCGGTGCCTGGCAAGGCTGGTACCAGAAACGTTGGTGCCAAATCACTTTCACTGTAAGGCACGCATTGTGCCGTCAGTTTGGAGGGACAGGAAGCACAGAACATCGTGAAAAAAGCTCTGCCTGAGCGACAAATCCAATCCAGGAGTCGGCGCCGCAAGCGAAAACCCTCACACCTGTCGGTATATATAGTCTCGTACGTAGACCAGACCTTACGCATGGATAAGGACTACGGTTTCCAGACGAAGGAAATCCGAGCACTCGGGCCCCGCCCCCAAGTCAAATCAGCTGCTTTCTAATCCGGCTACAAGTGTATGGCAGGACCTAGCATGCCCCCGAAACCCTGATATAACTTCTATAATTTAGGGGCCTATAAATGATTACCTATACTATTTTGTGGGTTCCTCGTGAACATTATAGTATAATGGGCCCCAAAAGTTGCTCAGGCCCCTACGTCAGAGACGTGGCCCCGTCAGTACAGCCGTCCTTGCCAAGGATGAGATCCTCGCCATACCAAGCAAGCTGTGTGGTGCGCTGGCAGCTCAGGTTTTGATCTGAAGCGGTCTATTACGACAGGACTTTGAATAATTAGACATGCTGTTCACGTGTAACCCTCTGTGGAACGTTTTGTGTAAAGCGCCACCAACACTGCTTTTTGTCAATGGCAACTCAAGTGAAAACAGCCTCTCAGGACCATACAAGGTCTTCCACCTGGGACCACTTGTAACTTCCACCATTGCGAGATTGATAATCTTGAGAGTCCGATAGCATCGAGAAATCTCCCAAAGCCTATTCTATCTGATTCGGCTCCAACGTCGGTCCGGATGCTTTCGCTGCCTCAACTGCCGTAAGGACGGCCATACTGGTGCACGGCGCAGAGGGTGCTAAAGAAATGTTGAAGCAGCGCCTTGCCTGGGAATTGCAGGGTGTACAGGCCGGTCGGAGGGCAGGCATGCGAGCCCCAGGTTATCCGTTCGTGTGGATGCGGTGTGTGTGTGTGTGTGTGTGTTTGTGTGTGTGTGTGTGTGTTTGTGTGGATGATCCCTTGATCATAGAGGTGTGTCTAATGTGCCGAACGGTTAGACCGAAGTAGCCGGAGATTGTCACGATCCCGCCATGACACAATGCCCACACAAGATTAACACCGAAGGCCGAAAGACGTCTTGATTGTGGTAAGCGGATGTTGCTCATGATGATGCTGCTGATGAGTACTGATGAGAACGATGATGCTGTCGATGCCGATGCGGGTGGTGCCGGTTCTTGGCCTGGGGAGCTGCCGATGCTGAGGCTGAGACTGGTGTTGGTGAGAGTGGTCATTCTTCGTCATTCTAATGGCAGTGCTGTACCACCTGATACTGCCTGCCTGCGAACTATGTCTCGTTGTTGTGGCTTCTGCCTTCAAGTCTCTCGTGGCTATGCTACTGGCCAGCTTGAGCCTTGTCGTCATTAGTTGTAATGCCAAGGCTGTGTTCCTTTGCTTGTGTTGCTGTCGGCTCGTGCTGTGTTTGCGTTGCGTATCATGATTATATGTATTCTCACGCCGGAAGCCCATGCGAAGAGCCCACACCCTTCACCTAGAATACTTGCGACCTAAGGATCCTGAGGCTAGGTTGTTGGATCCCAGATCGTGTGCGTTATGCCAGGTAGCAGCAAATTGAGCGTATACCATGCAACACTTTGCACGGCCGCACTTCCCCAAAGTCTAGGCTCCAGACCGTTCGAGGGTTTGTTCGGAGCAAGCCGTAGCAACCATTCAAGGCTTTTCCCTATCGGTGCAGACCACCAGCGCCTCGGCTCAGAAGCTTTGCGTCAGAGCAGACTTCATCTTGTGCTCGCATCATTTTCCCCATCTTGCGTGTACGTGGCTCACTGTGTGCATACAGCGTAACATGCTGACTTCTGACTGCTGTCAGTTCGAAGTCTGTGCTTGCTTTAGGATGTTTTTCTTGTGTTCGTTATGGTGTTGTACCCTTCGCGCCGTCATCCTTGTTGGTGTTCATAGGCGGTTACCCTTACTATTACTACTAGACTACGAGTAGTCCCGGTTCTTCTTAGCTTCTCTCTGCATGGGCACGAAGACACAGCAGCAGTGTGTACATGGCGATCACAAGCAGCCGGACGTCATCGACAACCATAGCTGTGAAGAAGCAAAGGCTACTGTCGTGCCACAGTCAACTCAACAATGCAGTGTTTCCAAAAAGTGCATTGGGGAGGGTTGAGATGCTTGTGAAACGAAAAAATCAAACTGTAGATTCCAATTCGCGCTGACACGAAGCACTTTTGTTAAACACTATTGGCAGTAGATCTGGAAGCTCTGTAGGAACAGTGACTTAACAAATCTCGCTGCAGATTCAGTGGACGCACTTCCTCGAAGTGGACTGAGCAAGGTTCATGCCGTGTTTGTTCTCGTAGCAGTTCTCATGAATTTTCCAGGGCTTTGCATCGCACGAGGGTAATGACTGGTTGCGTTCCCAGGTTTGATCTCAAGATCACACTGACCCTCCACGACCCACAGTCGACGCTGCGCTGCTTGACCTTTTCACTAATGGAAGTATCATCTCTTGAAACTAAGGTAGATGTGCATTTTCAACTCGGTCTTGCTGTAGGTTGTTTTATGTGGAAACAAGAGAGCAGAATTTGCGGCCACGTTCGTCAGAAGTCAATCTCAAAAGCTGGACTTTGGGTGCCAACACTAACACGCCGTGCAAGTATCGACGTCACCTCGAATGTAGAAAGCTGTATCCTCGGAGGCTACAAGTCTTGGTGGGAAGTGACGGTGGGATCCTCTTGGGGATTGTAAACATTTCAAACGTTGCTTCGTGGCCGTCATGCAGAAGTTGCCGAGACAATTGTCATGATCGTCCCTTGTTTCTGATGGTGGCATCCCGATCTGTTGCAGTCGGCCCCGCCCCCCGTCCCCCCGTTAGCCCGATGACGTTTTACATGCTGCATTTATCGTTTGAGGACTTCGTCATGCTTTCTAGAATGGCTTATGGTGTTTATCCGGATCTAGCGTTTTGCAAGTTTGAGTGTAGGCCCTGGAACAATCGGCGGGAGGGCTGGGCTGGCTTGCATTACTGAGGGGCCCTATCAGATGGCCCTATCACAACATACGAGTAGCTGGCACTTCCCAGACATTCTGGTGACAGCAGATATCCCCTCCCCTGAGGGATTCCGAACCAAGGGACTCGCCCATTAATTTCGGGCCCCATGCAGCGACGACGGCGTAAGCCATGAGTGTTGCCTGGTTCCCAACTAACATCCTACCCGAAACCTTCAATCCCAAAACCCAAACCCTAAAACCCTGCGCCATTGTCAGCTGGGCCAGTGCTACAAAACCCTGCACCAACTTAGGCTTCTTCATAGCTGCCTCGCCCCTGGCATCGGCACCGCTGAGCGAAGCTGGGGATACAGACATTCAGAGGACCTTTGAACAAGATAGGGTATGTTTCTAGGTTTAATCGGTGTGCGTTATACGCCTTTACGGGGTTGGAGACAAATGGTTGAGGCCCTCATAAATTTTCCACTTTACACCCACTCTATAGCCGGGATGCCGAAAGCAGCGAGAGAGAGAGAGAGAGAGAGAGAGAGAGGAGAGATATCTGGTGCAGCTGCCATCTAGTTGCTAGTTTCCCCAAAGAATGATGCGGGCTTGCTCGTGATGATGCCCATCTAGAAATCTATCTCTGCAGACCCTGTCCTGTGAGCGTCCGAACCTGCTTGCAGCTGTGAAAGGCTGCTGGCGCAGAAGCCACAATTGCCACGCAGGATTCCGCCGGCACGCCGACAGCAGCTAAAGCAAGAAGCACTTGCCCGGCACAGGCGCGGAGCACTGACTAACGCATCCTGCACAGCTTGCTCTGACCAGCAGGTGCAAGATGCATGCAGTTGCACTTACCAACGTCTTTGCTGACACTTCACCCAATCCGTTAATGATCGTATTTCCAAATAAGGTGCTTTTCCATCCCGTTTCTAAAGCATCGGCGACCTGTGTGAATTCGGTTCCCGCTCTTGGTGTACATCGAGTCGCTGTTCCACTACTGTTCTCACGGAACCCTTTTTTACAGCTTCTCCCCACCTCTGGCAGAAGTACTGGAAGCCTGCCAGCAGCTGCAAGCAGCAACAAGACCCAGACAAAATCTGGGTACGGACCCTGGCCCGGCTCAATGGAAGTTGAGCTTATGGCTTATGCCGACCGCTAAGAAGCTAAGGACGAAGACTGGTGCAAGACGACATCTTGTGGTGGGCTTGCTGATGGCTGTCATCATCTGCCGTCTAATGCCTCTAATGGACAGTCGATGTCCGATTTATATGCTTACCAAAGATGTTTGTTAGTGTGTGAGTGTGTGCGGGGGGGGGGGGGGGGTGTGGTTGTGCTTGTTTGTGTTTGTTTGTGTATGTGCGTGTGTGTCTCTGTCTGTGTGTGTGTTATATGATATGACTCGATATGTCATGCTGGACAGCGAACAGCCAATGACTATGACTAGGTACATGAACAAGATATGCGCGTGTAAGGAAACATACAGCCCCATAGGCACACACTTATCGATAATACATGTCTTTCTCCAGCGCGCAACATTGAGCCGCATGACCCTGGTTTGTCTGAGAATCCGTGTGAAGATCAGGCAGGGAGACGATGTGAAAGCTGTTCAAGCGAATGGCTATCAAGGCCCGGTGATGCGCTA